CCCTCCCCTCATCCCTCCCTCATCCCTCCCTCATCCCTCCCTCATCCCTCCCTCATCCCTCCCTCATCCCTCCCTCATCCCTCCCTCATCCCTCCCTCATCCCTCCCTCATCCCTCCCTCATCCCTCCCTCATCCCTCCCTCATCCCTCCCTCATCCCTCCCTCATCCCTCCCTCATCCCTCCCTCATCGCTCCCCTCTATCCAGGGTACAACATCCATGGGTTCAACGCCGATTTCCCCGTGGATGCCGCAGGCCTGGACGAGGCTGCCAGATACATTGCTGGGATTCTCGAGGAAGAGAGAAGGGTGCATCCTGGTGGGTGGAGTGCTGTGCTGTACTGTACTGATTGGGTGAGGAGCAACAGGGTAAGGAGCGTGAAAAGCATTGATGCGGTTGCGAGATAAGTGGGTTGGATAAGCCGGGGGGGAGAAGGGGGGGGAGGGGATGATGGCGCTCTTTCCCCACTATCCCTTCCTTTTTACTGGTACCTTTTGTTGAATTGCCCCCAGTTTCTTCTTCCCCCCTCTGCGTCAGCCTCACAAGACGTCATTTATACAGTGGGTGCGATCAGCCAAGGGAGCTCATACTGGTACCTCTTATTGAGCCGCCTTTAATCGAATCCTTCATGTCCCCACCCCCTCCCCCTCTGCGTCAGCCTCACAAGACGTCATTTATACAGTGGGTGCGATCAGTCAAGGGAGCTCTCTCTCCCTCACTCGCCTTAACCGATTCTCTTCTTTCCCTCTTCCCCCTCTTTCCCTCTCTCACCTTAACCGATTCTCTTCTTTCCCTCTCCCCCCTCTTTCCCTCTCTCACCTTAACCGATTCTCTTCTTTCCCTCTTCCCCCTCTTTCCCTCTCTCACCTTAACCGATTCTCTTCTTTCCCTCTTCCCCCTCTTTCCCTCACTCACCTTAACCGATTCTCTTCTTTCCCTCTTCCCCCACTTTCCCTCACCCACAAGACGTAATTTATACAGTGGGTGCGATCAGCCAAGGGAGCTTTTTTTCCCCTCTTTCCATGAGTCACCTTATATTGAACCCTTTTTCTTTTCCTCTCCCACCCTTTTGCCCGTGCCCGCACCCACCAGACGTCTCGTACATAGTGGGAGGGATCAGCCAAGGGGGCAGCCAAGGGATCATGAAGGGGGGGCTCTCTCCCTCACTCACCATATCCGATTTTGTTCTTCTCCCCTCCCCCCTCTTCCCCTCACCCACCACCAGACGTCACGTACATAGTGGGAGGGATCAGCCAAGGGGGCAGCCAAGGGATCATGAAGGGGGGGCTCTCTCCCTCACTCACCATATCCGATTTTGTTCTACTCCCCTTCCCCCTCTTCCCCTCACCCACCAGACGTCACGTACATAGTGGGAGGGATCAGCCAAGGGGGCTCTCTCTCCCTCTACCTCATGTGCCGGAAGGCGCTGGGAAGCTTCGCGGATGGTTCCGATGCCTCCTCTCTGCCCTTCATTGCCTCTATTGGCCTCAGCACATGGCTACCCAATTGCAGGTGGGATCTGGGGGAGGTGTTATATGAAGGGGTAGGATCTGCAGAGGTTAGGTAGTTTCTTCTTTGCGTCTCTCTTCATCCGCTGCTTTGAGCGGCAGCCTGCCCAAGTGCAGGTGGGATCTGGGGAAGGTCGGATCTGGGCTGTGTGGGTAGCCTGCAATCCATCTCTCTTGCTTTCAGCGGCTGCCTGCCCAAGTGCAGGTGGGATCTGGGGAAGGTGTTATCTTGTCCCAAAGATGAATCCATGGTTCCCCCTTTCCTCCCCATTTCCTCTCTCCTACACCTCACCTTTGCGGTCTGATTCCGGGACCTGGGAGAATGGGAGCTGCTGGTGCTGAGAGGACTGCCTTGCGATGCGAGTCGACTCAAAGATAAATCCACGGTTCCCCCTTTCCTCGTCCTTTCATCTCCTATACCTCCCCCTTTCCTCTCGTATACCTCCCCCACGTCCACAGTCTGGTTCCGGCACCTGGAGAAACGGATGCAGCTCTTGCAGAGAGAGCTGCGAGGCATCCTGTATTCATGGCACATGGGGAAGGTACGGTGGGGGGGTGGGGGAAGGGGCCTGCGGCAACGACTGCTGTGACGATTTTTGAGGCGCCTCAAAAGTTGACCTGCTGGTGGGCTGGGGAGAGGACTGCCCTGGCGTGCGGCTCCTTGAGGCACCGTGCTGGCTTTTGGGTGGACCAAAAAGTAATCCTGTTGAAATCTTTTGTGGCTTGTGCGTGTGCAGTTGATCCCCTTGTGGGCTACGCCTGGGGCAGGGCCAGCTCTGACCTGCTGCGCAATGCTGGCTTCTCCAACCTCACCTTCAACTCGTATCCCCAGTAAGGCTCTGTTACTGTGTAACCACGCAGGCAAACCAGGCACCATACACCATACCCCCCTACCTTCTCCAACCTCACCTTCAACTCGTATCCCAAGTAAGGCTCTGTTACTGTATGCACACAGGGAAGCCATGCACCTTACACCATACCCTCCAACCTTGCACCATACACCATACCCCCCCTACCTTCTCCAACCTCACCTTCAACTCGTATCCCAAGTATGGCTCTGTTATTGTGAGTGAAACGTCTGGTTTAGGGCATGATGGTTAAGTAAAGCCAGGCAGCAATCTCATGCATATTTACTTGACACTAGAACGGTTAACCCCCGCTAGCTGAATGTTTTGTCGAGAGCCTCTTGAAAAAGGCCTGTTCAGATTTCCCCTGTTGCCCTACAGCCCGGCGCACGCCACGTGCCGTGAGGAGCTGGCAAATTTGTCCGACTGAACCCCAGTTACAGTATGTCTCAAATACACTTTTCGGTGCCCCCCCGTTGCCCTGCAGCCTGGCACACGCCATGTGCGGTGAGGAGCTGGCGGATATGAGAGCGTGGCTGCTGCAGCACGCCCCTCTTCCCGCTGCGCCTCCTGCCTGACCTCCTGCTTGCTGCTTCACAGCACCCGCTTTCATGGGAAGCAATCACTAACACCACCCGCTTTTATGAGAAGCAATCACTAACACCACCCGCTTTCATGAGAAGCAATCACTAACACCACCCGCTTGGACTCCTCCTGCCTGCGGATAGAGTCAATTCAAGCGAAGCACATCCCTCCAACCAGCTCTTCTAGTCGACTCTAGAAAAGCAGCTGCCTCAACCCCCCTTCATTCTCTGCCTCCCCGTCCGCTGTGGATGGTGCCGCACACGACCCGATAATTCTCCTGTCTGATGCCCCACTGGCCGGAACACTCTGTTGATATGTATGCATATCCTGCTTATAAAATAATGTATTTCGTGCTTGGGCATTGGTGTTGCACAGACGTAACAGTGTTGTGAGATTTTAGTAGAATAGAAAATGCACCACAACATGTAAAGAATGTTACTGTCCAACATCCGTTTTCTTGCGCAGTATGTACCAAGAATGCCCTCATGGTTGATAGGGGGAATTGCTCACTTGGCCTGGTGATTGGCTTATATGAGGGCTGGTGGGTGTAGCAAGCTGCTGCACCGCATTCCACCTTCCAAAATGTCTCTGTTACCAAGTGTGGAGTTCTGAGGCATCGTGGGCGATCTGTCCTGCGTGCACAACCACTCCCCCCCTCCCTCTTCCCTTTCCTCCATTCACATTCTAATCTCTGAACACTCAACCTATACACACAGTCCTTCACGCACCCACCCTCACTCCCTTCTTTTGAGAAAGTCTCAAAACTCACCTACAGCCCAGCCCAACTTACCCTAATTTTCCTACTGGGACATTCCTGTATCAATGATTTCCCCATGTCCCCTATTCAAGGACGTTTTTCCGCATCTTTCAACCAGTCGTTGAGGCTAGCTTCAGCAGCCGCACTCACTGCAACAACGGTAGGTTCCGAGGCAGAAAACGAAGCAGCTGCAGCACCACCAGCATCACCAGCATCAGCAGAACCACCAGGAGACACACGGGAACCATCAGAAGACCCACTGGAGCCAGCAGTCAGAGAGGCTCTACTCCGGGCCAAAGCAGACGCAGCGGCTGCGGCTGCTGCGGCTTCTGCCGCCTCTGCTGCTGCTGCTCCTGCCGCAGCTGCTGCCGCTGCGGATTCTGCTGATTCAGTCGCTGCTACAGCTGTGCTGTATCCTCCCCCACCAGCTTCTAGATCTTGTCGCACCCCACCTTTGCCATCCCCACCTGGACCTCCGTTAGTGTAAGTGTCTATGGCTAAGTCGTGTGCTTTAGCCACTGCAGCAGCTTTCGCAATCTCGTCTTTTGTGGGCTGGTACGTGGCGGTAGAGATGGGGCGGAGAGCGAGGAGAGCGAGGGTGAGGAGGTAGAGTAGGAGGAGAAGGGAAGCCAGAACGGTGAAGATGATGCGGACGAGGTTGGACTCGGTGGTGGGGGGTGAGGAGGGGTTGAGGTAGAGCAAGTCAACGCAGGTCCAGATGATGAGAGAGGCGTTGGCTAGGATGATGAGAGTGCCCACAATGGAGGTGGCAATGGTTGTCTGGTAGCGGGGTTCAAAAAGGAGGGGGGCGGGGGGGAGTGTTGGAATAATCATTCTTATGCTTTACCGATACTTGTGAAGCGAGCACGCAGCTTATCCAAGCGTGAGTTGCAGATGCAACCACTCTAAGGTGAGGTTATTGAGGGGTTGCTTACCCAGGCGTGTGTGGCGAACATACCCATCTTGAGAGTGGTGCTGGTGAACTTAAGCAGGGGGATCAGGGCGAAGGGGATATTTGTGGCGCCCTAAGAAGGGCTCAAGTATGACTTGTGAGTCGACTCAGAAAGGCGCATGTTTGTCTTACCCAGGCGTGTGTGGCGAACATGCCCATCTTGAGAGTGGTGCTGGTGAACTTAAGCAGGGGGATGAGCGCAAAGGGCAGACCAAAGGATGACACAATCTGGCGTGCGGGTAGGCAAGTGGGGAGGGGAAAGTGATAGGGTTAGCGGGGGCAAAGTGTGAAGCGGAACATGATGGGCAAGGGGTGGTGAAGTTGGAGAAGTCCTTACAGGTTGAAAAAGGTGGTGGTGACGTTGAGCAGGGGGGATAAGGTTATAGATGACATGACGCATTAGGGGCATCAAGGGGGGAGGTGTTCTCCTGAACTAAAACAGCATAGAATGAGAGGACAGTGCACTGCCTTCACACCACGCGGAGGATTTTTTAGTCGACTCAGGGGCATCACGGGGGGTTGTTCTCCCCTTGATGACGCTTCCAGGGCATCAGGAACCGAAACAGCATAGAATGCGAGGACAGTGCACTGTCTTCTTACCGAGCAGAGGATGATGAGGACGCTGGCCCCCTTTGCATCGAAAAGTAGAGCCACCAGCAGTGCCGGCACAATGGCTATGAGGCGCGTGATGAGGTTATGTGACCACGTTACGTAACCCCTACAGGCACTTCACGCCCTGCTCTTACCGAGCAGAGGATGATGAGGAGGCTGGCCCCCTGGGCTCCAAACATAAGAGCCAATAGTAGCGCCGGCACGATGGCTATGAGGCACGTGATGAGGTTGCGCAACCACGTGCTGTCAGTCTTGAGAATTCTCAAAAGTGATTGCCAAGCAGAGCGTGTGATGCAGTTGCACAGCCACGTGCTGTCACCCATACCAGTGCCGCCTACTTGTTTTTCAAGCCCTGTTCCCTCACCGAGCAGAGGATGATGAGAAGGCTGGCGCCATTGGCCCCGAAGAGAAAAGCCACGAGCAATGCTGGCACGATGGCAATGAGGCGCGTGATGAGGTTGCGCAGCCACGTGCTGTCAGTCGCCCATACAAGTGCTGCCTACTTGCTTGCCAGGCCTTGTTCTCTCACCGAGCAGAGGATGATGAGGAGGCTCGCCCCCTGGGCTCCAAAGAGGAGAGCCACTAGTAGCGCCGGCACGATGGCGATCAGGCGCGTGATGAGGTTGCGCAGCCACGTGCTTATACGGAGCTCGATGAAGCCCTGTAACGAGGATGGATGAGAGGGGGGGAGTGAGAGAGGTGAAGAGAACAGAAAGGCCGTATGATTTATAAACAGAGAGGAGAGAGGACAGACGAGGTCATACAGAGGAGGAAATGATGAGAAGAAGAGGATGCAGAGAGCAGTAAGTGAAGGGACGGTGGGAAGCACGTGTGAGAGACCGGCTTCACCCCACCTGCATGACGTATTGCGCGGCGTACATTCCAGTGACCGTGCTGCTCTGCCCTGCTGCCAGCAGATCCTTTTGAGATGCACCACAAATAACCCGCACCACATACTGCCCCAGCCATTGCTTCAACCTCAACCCACCTGCATGACATAATGCCCTGCGTATGTGCCCGTGACCGTGCTGCTCTGCCCTGCTGCCAGCAGCGCCATGTTCTGCCTAACCCCACCTGCACCACACACTGCCCGGCTCGGGGCATCATGGTATTGATTCACCCCACCTGCATGACGTATTGCCCAGCGTATGTGCCCGTGACCGTGCTGCTCTGCCCTGCTGCCAGCAGCGCCATTTGCTGCCTAACCTCACCTGCACCACACACTGCCCGGGGAATCATGGTATAGCTTCACCCCACCTGCATGACATATTGCCCCGCGTACATCCCAGCCGAGTGACCGTGCTACTCTGCCCTGCTGCCAGCAGCGCCTTGTGAGGCAGTTTACAAATCATACTGCACCAATTTTTCACCCCCACCCCACCTGCATGACATATTGGCCGGCGTACGTGCCAGTGACCGTGCTGCTCTGCCCTGCTGCCAGCAGCGCCATTTGCTGCCTAACCCCACATGCACCACACATTGCCCGGCCCGGGGCATCATGGAATTGCTTCACCCCACCTGCATCACGTATTGCCCGGCGTACGTGCCAGTGACCGTGCTGCTCTGCCCTGCTGCCAGCAGCGCCACTCCAAACAGCGTCCCTGCCCATCCTCCCAGTACATCCTGAGGGTGGAGTGTGGGACAGAGAGGTGTGGGCGGTAGGTAGAGATACGTAGAGGTTCGGAGAGGTTCGGAGAGGTTCAGAGATGTAGGGTGAAGAAGGGAGGGGAAGGGAGAGGAAGGGAGAGGAAGAGAGAGGAAGGGAGAGGATGGGAGTGGAAGGAAAGCTGTTGAAGGCTCACCGTGAGCAGCACGTGCGCGTTGCTGATGCTGATGCTGGCACCACACGCTTCAGCTGGAAGTCACGTGCCCCTCAAAGTGCGCCCACAACACGCTAGCCCATCAGACCACTCGCCTTTTACCCCCTGTACAATACTCACCGTGAGCAGCACGTGCGCGTTGCTGATGCTGATGCTGGCACACGCTTCAGCGGCGCCGGGCGGCAGACTGGCGGAGTGGCAGACAGCGCCGGCTACAGCAATGATTGCCACGTTGATGACGACACTTATGAGCAACGCCAGGGAGAGCTCTAAGAGAGAGTAATGGCTGGCTGTCTGGAGGAAGAGAAGGGGCCAACAGGGAGAAGAGGGGGCGAGGGGAAATTTGAAGCGCCTCAGAAAGTGACAGACAGCGCCAGCCACAGCAATGACTGCCACGTTGATGACGACACTTATGAGCAACGCCAGGGCGAGCTCTAAGAGAGAGTAATGGCTGGCTGTCTGGAGGAAGAGAAGGGGCCAACAGGGAGAAGAGGGGGCGAGGGGAAAATTGAAGCGCCTCAGAAAGTGACAGACGGCGCCAGCCACAGCAATGACTGCCACGTTGATGACGACACTTATGAGCAACGCCAGGGCGAGCTCTAAGAGAGAGTAATGGCTGGCTGTCTGGAGGAAGAGAAGGGGCCAACAGGGAGAAGAGGGGGCGAGGGGAAATTTGAAGCACCTCAGAAAGTGACAGACGGCGCCAGCCACAGCAATGACTGCCACGTTGATGACGACACTTATGAGCAACGCCAGGGCGAGCTCTAAGAGAGAGTAATGGCTGGCTGTCTGGAGGAAGAGAAGGGGCCAACAGGGAGAAGAGGGGGCGAGGGGAAATTTGAAGCGCCTCAGAAAGTGACAGACGGCGCCAGCCACAGCAATGACTGCCACGTTGATGACGACACTTATGAGCAACGCCAGGGCGAGCTCTAAGAGAGAGTAATGGCTGGCTGTCTGGAGGAAGAGAAGGGGCCAACAGGGAGAAGAGGGGGCGAGGGGAAATTTGAAGCGCCTCAGAAAGTGACAGACGGCGCCAGCCACAGCAATGACTGCCACGTTGATGACGACACTTATGAGCAACGCCAGGGCGAGCTCTAAGAGAGAGTAATGGCTGGCTGTCTGGAGGAAGAGAAGGGGCCAACAGGGAGAAGAGGGGGCGAGGGGAAATTTGAAGCGCCTCAGAAAGTGACAGACGGCGCCAGCCACAGCAATGACTGCCACGTTGATGACGACACTGATGAGCAACGCCAGGGCGAGCTCTAAGAGAGAGTAATGGCTGGCTGTCTGGAGGAAGAGAAGGGGCCAACAGGGAGAAGAGGGGGCGAGGGGAAATTTGAAGCGCCTCAGAAAGTGACAGACGGCGCCAGCCACAGCAATGACTGCCACGTTGATGACGACACTTATGAGCAACGCCAGGGCGAGCTCTAAGAGAGAGTAATGGCTGGCTGTCTGGAGGAAGAGAAGGGGCCAACAGGGAGAAGAGGGGGCGAGGGGAAATTTGAAGCGCCTCAGAAAGTGACAGACGGCGCCAGCCACAGCAATGACTGCCACGTTGATGACGACACTTATGAGCAACGCCAGGGCGAGCTCTAAGAGAGAGTAATGGCTGGCTGTCTGGAGGAAGAGAAGGGGCCAACAGGGAGAAGAGGGGGCGAGGGGAAATTTGAAGCGCCTCAGAAAGTGACAGACGGCGCCAGCCACAGCAATGACTGCCACGTTGATGACGACACTGATGAACAGTGCTAGGGCCAGATCTAGTAGAGAGTAGTGGCTGGCTGTCTGACGGGTGCAAAGGGGTAGACAGGGAGGAGGAAGGGGCAAGGGGATTCTTGAGGTGCCTCGAAAAGTGGCAGACGGCGCCGGTCACAGCAATGACTGCCACGTTGATCACCACGCTTATTAGAAGAGCCAACGCGAGCTCAAGTAGGGAGTAGTGGCTGGCGGTCTGAGAGGAGGAGAAAGGGGTTCAAAAGGTGATATGAGGAGCCACGGCAATGATTGCCACGTTGATCACCACGCTGACGAACAGTGCTAGGGCGAGCTCGAGCAGGGAGTAGTGGGTGGCCGTCTGAGAGGAGGGGGGAGAACGGGAACAGAGGGTGATAGGAGGGGGACAGGTGCTGATGAGCGATCACAGCCACAGCAATGACTGCCACGCTGATGACTACACTGATTAGAAGTGCCAAGGCGAGTTATAACAGCGAGTAGTGGCTGGCTGTCTGAGGGGTGGGAAGCGGTTGAGAGGGAGGGGGACAGGTGTGTAAGATCGTTTACTGCCACAGCAATGACTGCCACGTTGATCACCACGCTGATCAATAGTGCCAAGGCGAGCTCTAGGAGAGAGTAGTGGCTGGCTGTCTGAGGGGGTGGGAAGGGGTCGGCAGGGAGAAGGAGGGGCCGAGGGGAAATCTGAGGCAGACTGGCGGAGTGACAGACGGCGCCAGCCACAGCAATGACTGCCACGTTGATCACCACGCTTATGAGCAACGCTAGGGCAAGCTCTAAGAGAGAGTAGTGGCTGGCGGTCTGAGAGGGGTGGGAAGCGGTTCAGAGGGTGATGGGAGAGAAACAGGTGTTTATGATGGCCACATAAGTGACGGCCACAGCAATGATTGCCACGTTGATGACTACGCTGATTAAAAGTGCCAAAGCGAGTTCTAGCAGCGAGTAGTGGCTGGCAGTCTGAGAGGGGTGGGAAGCGGTTGAGAGGGGAGGGGGACAGGTGTGTAAAATCGTTTACAGCCACAGCAATGACTGCCATGTTGATCCCCTGATTAGAAGTGCCAAGGCGAATTTTAGCAGCGAGTAGTGGCTGGCAGTCTGAAGGGAGGGGAGAGGAAGGGTTTGGTACCATGGGGATGGGGAGACAGGTGTTGATGCCCTCGCGGATCAGCGGCGCTAAGGCGATATTGAGGAGGGAAAAAATGCTGGAGGTCTGAGTGGAGGGAAGAGGGAAGGGCTAGAAACTAAAGAGTGGGCTTGAAAGGGGGTGGTGGTAAGGTGGGGGTTAAGAGGGGGCGAGGAAACAGGTGCTGATGGAGATGCGGTGCCTCAATCGCTTGGAAAATTTACCTGACTAGCTGCTGATTTAGCCTGATATAGAATAGGAGGTTGGTTCACTTCACACCCTATCAGCACGGGAGGTGCAACCTATAAGCGCGCGTGACTTACTCTGATAGCTCGGGTGGTACCCGCATGCTTGCGGCTGAGAACGATGGCGGAGTGAAGGTAGAGATTGTGCCTGGAGGGAGAAGGGGGGAGGCATAGAAGGGAAGAGAAGATCAGACAGGGGAGGGGTTTAAAACGATTCCAAACTACGTCATTGCGGTTGAGAACCATGGCGGAGTGAAGGTAGAGATTGTGGCTGGAGGGAAGCGGGGTTGGAGAGAGGTGAGGGGGGAGTGAGCAGGGGAGAGGGGAGGGTACGGCGAGGGAGGTTGTGCATGGCAGGAGGGACGGTTGGTGACCGGAAAAGGGGAAGGCGAGAGATCGGGGGAACAGAGCAGGAAAAATGATGTGCATGGTGGTTTGGGGTTGGGATAAAACGGACCGGTTGCGGAACAGAGAGAAGGGGACGAGATTGTGCGGCGCATGCAAGGTGAGAAGCAATAGGCCGTGTGTGTGCGGAGGGGGGAAGGGTGGTGAGGGAGAGGGAGGGGGGGGGAGGGGGGGAAGGGGGTGGGGGGTGGGACGATGGGATGGGGGGTTTGAAAAGGGAGAAGGGTGGCGGGATGGTAAGGGAAATTGGAGAGAATTCGCTAACTCACGGCATGACGGTGGTGCCAAGGATTGAGATTGCGACCGCAAGTGCTCCCACATTTTGCAACTGCCAGGTAAGGATGGGGAGGGGAAGGGGACGATAGGACTCGTGAAACGTCTCAACAGGTCACACATCGTTTTGGGTTTGGCATATGGCCGTGCACACCCTTGGATGCGGCCAGTGAATATCTTTTGCCAAATGTGCTGCTGCCACGTGTGCTGCTGCCACGTGTGCTTCTGCCACGTGTGCTGCTGCCACGTGTGCTGCTGCCACGTGTGCTGCTGCCGCGGGTGCTGCTTCCTGAATACTCAACTGCGGCACCTGAGGCACCTGATTTCTCACCTGAGGCACCTGATTTCTCACCTGAGGCACCTGATTTCTCACCTGAGGAACGACCATGCCCTTGAAGAGCTCCCCCACGTCTGACGGCTGTAGCGCCTTGACCATCTCCGCTATAAAGCACCCCGCTATAAGCAGCACCATCAGCGCCATTATAGTTTCAAGAGGTCGCGCCTACAAGAAAGGGAAGAGGAGGGCAGGAGAGCGGGGGAAGGAGGGAAAGAAGGAGGGTACAGCTTTGTTTGAACAGTGATTTCAGTCTTGTCGTGTCGATACGTTTGAACAATCCTAACAGAGACTTACTAGCTACTTGTAGCAGACAAGGAACACTCACCCCAAACCTCTCGAGGGCTAGGAGCAGCAGAGCGCTGCAACCCGTTATAAGCACACCCGCCCAGAGGGGGATGCGGAAGAGGAGGTTGAGGGCGATGGCTGTGCTGACCACTGCAGGGAGGAGAGTAGGAGATGGGTAAGGAAATGGCATGGGAGACAGAGAGGCTCTCTGGGTCGACTCAAAGCCAGTTATAAGCACACCGGCCCACAGGGGGATGCGGAAGAGGAGGTTGAGGGCGATGGCTGTGCCGACCACTGCAGGGAGGAGAGTAGGAGATGGGTAAGGAAATGGCATGGGAGACAGAGAGGCTCTCTGGGTCGACTCAAAGCCAGTTATAAGCACACCGGCCCACAGGGGGATGCGGAAGAGGAGGTTGAGGGCGATGGCTGTGCCGACCACTGCAGAGAGGAGAGAAGGGCAGGGTAGGGGAAGGGAAATGCATGGGGAGACAGGGCGGTGTTTTGAGTTGACTCAAAACCCGTTATAAGCAACCCTCCTCACAGGGGGATGCGGAAGAGGAGGTTGAGCGCGATGGCTGTGCCCACCACTGCAGAGAGGATGGACGGAGAGGTGGAAAGGAAAGGTGCGGAAGGGGGCAGGGAAGTCAGAGGGATAAATTAATGATTGGATATAGAAGGTGCCTACAACTAATGGAGACGGAAGGCGAGGGGGGTTGGAAAGCCGAGGAAGGGATGCAGGGAGGTGAAGATTTCAAAAGCGAGGGCTCTGAAGAATGATAGAACTGAAGGGATGAGAGAAGAGAAGGGGCACGGTGAGATGGATCAAGCTGATTCACGGGCTGCGGAATGTTGCTGACGGAATAGGCAGGAAGGTCACCTTGGGGAATGTCGCTGGCAATGATGTTGATCTCTGCTATGAGCCACAGCACCACGTTGAGACCCGAAGGGTACTCCAAGCGGCAGTGCTGCGCTAGATGCTTTTGAGGCACCTCAAAACGTGTCACATGCTAAGGAGGCGCCTCAGATCTAGTCGCATGCAGTTGAGGCACCTCAGAACGCGTCACTTGCTATGAAGGCTCCTCGGATCTAGTCGCACAAGAAGGTCACCTTGGGGAATGTCGCTGGCGATAACGTTGATCTCTGCTATGAGCCACAGCACAATGTTGAGACCCGAAGGGTACTCCAAGCGACAGTGCTGCGCCAAGTGCTTGCCTGGCGCAGCAGATCAAAAGGGGATAGAAAGAAGGAGATGGGATTAGAATGAGACATGTGAGAATGCTGGGCTAGGTGCTTTCTTGGAGAGGGTACGGATGTATGTGACAGCAGCAGTGGCACGTTTGAGTTGGTACAGGATTCGACCAGGACGATGTGGGGGTGGCAGCGTGGCTTACCGGTGACAATCCCGAGGTTAGCTGAGAGTGACTGTATGAAGAGGCCTGCTATCGAGGCGAGCAGCAGGGCCCAAAGGAGCTGCAATGAGGAGAGGAGAGAAGGAAAGAATGATCATGCATGTCATTATTTAGCCGGTGTGAAGAATGATCGTTGAGCATTTGTCCCAAACGACAACAGCAAGCGCCTTGAGAAGAAAGAGAAGAGCACCAAAATGGAGTGTGTGTGTAACCACCTGATACCCCAGGTCTGATACAACTCAAATGAGCTCTCAACCTCGCTTTCTCGTCTTTCAACACATGCACTTTAAGTTCCTCCCCCCTCGTTCCGCTCCCTCTTTTCGGCCACCTGTACCCAGCCGTCCTCTTCCCACACCTCCCAAAACCCCTCCACTTTCTCCGCACCTCAGCCGTACTCCTGTACTTTCCCTCCACTTTCTCCGCACCCAGCCATCCTCCCCTTCACTCCCCTCCAACCTCTCTCGACCCAGCCATTCTCCTATCCTCCTTCCATTTCTCTCCGCCCCAAATATTCTCACCGTAAATTTGTATGCAGCTCCTGCCTTCAAATCGCTCTCGACTGAAACAGGGACCAGTTAACAGCGGGAAGTAATGCAGCAAGGCAGATTAGGGTGAATTGCGCCTGTGTAACTTGCTTTTTTCCTATATTGAAGCATGAGAGAAAAGAAGGAAACGCCTGGATGAGATGGCAGGAGGGGAAGGGCTGAAGGACTGTTGAAGATCGAGGGCGTGAAGTGAAGTTCCGGGGTGTAAAAAAGGAACCTTCAACAGGAAAGGTGAGGTTATAACGGGTACAAGAGGTCTTACAGTTGCCGGGGTCGATATAAGCGATCGCGACAAGGAAGCCCGGGCCCACATACGACCAGCACTGACGCCATCCCTTGCCCTGCAGTCGCGAAAACATTGACAAGCTGTAACTGAGATTTGCGGCGGCTCACAGTCACACCACGTCTCGCATTTTGAGATGCCTCAGATTTGAACCGACGACATCACCCCTTGCACTGCGACCCAACAGCATCGACAGCCAGCGGTGAAAGGCGAAAATCTCGGGGGTCGCAAAGGGTCTCGCGCTCTCAGCCTCCCAATCTGCAACTGAATCTGACCCCCTTCAAAAATCTCAAGAGCGTTTTTCCGTTCCACCGAACATCTCGTCGAAACCGTCGGTGCCTACTTTCGCCCAAAGGATGAAGTGCACGCTTCCAATTAAGTTGGAATCGTCTCAAGTTGAGGATTTTTCAAGACCAAAATGCACGCCTTGCAGGCACTACATGTTGGGGTCGTTGCTCTCACCTCAGGCACTATCACTTTCCGCGACGAATCTTCTTCCCCTTTCTCCGGCGGTGACACGTCAGCACCCTTTGATACGGGCCCCATAGAATAAGCTAGAACTGCCTTTTTTTCAGAAAGAAAATGTATATCGCGCAGAAATTGTATTCGCTGGGGTGGACTGCCTGGCCTATGTGGTTTTAATGAAGTCTTTCAAAGCTCAATAAATTAGGTAGTGACTTGAAACTCTAGACTACGTTTGTGCGTAGAACGCGGAGTCTCCTCGACAAGTAAAAGAGAAACATTGGAGCTCTTTTTCACTGCCATATCACGTTCTCTGCTCCAGCAACATCGTCATCTACAAACAATATCGGAGCGCCAACATCGGAGTACCGGCAGGAGACCTGATAGGTACGATAATTAGTATGTCGAGGACCTGCAAAATCATTCTTGCTGTTCAGAAACAAATAAGGATGCTGGAGAGACGACTAGCACGAGGAGGACGAGACAAGCAGAAAAGCCAAGCGCCGGAGCGATCAGGTCGATATGTCCTAAGGTAAAGAGAGACCAAGCCCAGGCGGAGTTCTTGAGGGTAAAGGAGCAGCAGCAGGTGGTCTGAAAATGTGCACAATTATTTGTGCGGGCGCTGCGAATCGGTGTGAGCCGTCGTGACGCGTTCCCTCAAAACCTGGCGTTGGGTTCGTTTCCTGTTGGGCAATCTCGTGTCCGCAAATGGCGCTACAGTTAGCCGAAGTAACACAAACTGTTTCGTCGAAACTCGCTGAACAACAACAACGGGGGCGATGTTCGGCTGCCACAAGGCATCGACCGAGGGATGGGGGGAGGGATCGAAATTTCAGCTAGGATTTCTAGTTCGGGGTGGTCAGCTCGGAGTCAACTGTCGTTGACTCCAGGTCGGGAGTGCAGGCGGAAGCGGAACGTGTGGGGGAAAAAGCGCGGACGCGCGATTCGGGAAATGCTGGCCCACGAAACTGCAGCAGCGCGAAACGAAATTTCCCGAATTTACTGTTGCGATTTGTTTGGGTAACTCTTATACCTGAAATCTTGTACACTTTAAATAAAACTAAGGGTGAAAATGACGTTTGACATTAGATTAATGTAGCGAGTTAATTTGAAGTCTGTGTGTTTAGCATTATAATTTCGAGGTCCGTAATATTTGTTTTTTAGTGGGTGGGGTAATTCTATAAATGAAAATCGTGGAAGAGGGCATGCATTTTCCATCCCCCGTGGCCTTAGGCCCCCCACGGGAATGCACTTCCCATGCCCTGAACACTAGGGCGGAGTTTTTCCGCCTTGGGGGGGAATGCGGGGGAGGACGCGACGCGGGTTCATGCCTAGCGCGGGGTTCGCGTCGCGTTTTAGGCTCACGTCCGACACTTTTTTTGCAGATTTCTTTTCTGCCCGAAGTGTTTTGCCTAGTTCGAACAGGTCGAACCAGGCGGCTCGGCGTTTCGATGCCCCACCCCAACCCCTCCCTACCAACCCCTGTGGCAGCCGAACATCGCCTGGGCGACGAGCGTGTGGCTTGCAGCGGTTGAAGATCGCGAAAAGAAACTGGACAATAGCGGGTATATAGAGCTCAAACCCATTACTTTAAAAGAGCAATCCTGCTAGATTAATAATAACGAAATTGTTAAAGACAGACTCTTCGATTCATTCCAACTAATTAAAAATATTTTCAAAAAAATTTATCACGTTTGATTTGATTCAATCATGCATGTTACATATATGGTTCTTTGATATTCTTAGCTTTTTGAAGAGCAAGATATAGAAGTATTTATATAACACTACTCGTTTGTGCCATCTTTCAGTATTTGTATTCATTACTTTGGTGTGAACGTCTGCGATTGCCAGTTCACGTATTGTTTGCGTTGGGGTTGTCCATTCATTAGTGTCACCAAGTCCAGTTGCCGAAGGATTTGGCATCTGCTGGCGCCACACCTAGCTGTGGTGAATCTCTGATCCCTTTGGTGGCGCTTTGCAATAAAGATCACCCTCCTGTCGCGGTGGGGCGACTTGCAATCGCTTCTTCAATTTGTGGTTGCGAGAAGCAAAGGGAGCATGTGGTTGTTGGCGGTGGGATAGCTACGCGGAGGCGATCATTGGCTTTGAAACCGTGCAATTTCCTGCCTTTCGGGCGTGTTTTCGGGGTTGTCAGAGCTCTGGGGGCATTTGATATTCCCATCCAACGTCTCCAGGACCACAATCACCGCCACAAAACACCGAACACTTTTGCCGTGGATAAAACGTGAAGTCGTGGCCCTCAAGGGTTGGAGGTCCTGATGCCACGCAAGCTTCTTTGGAGATGGCTCACGTCGCCCAGTGGTGACGCATTTTTGGGGAGCTTGTCGCTGGCAGCTGGGAACCATTGCCATGGACAGGATATCGTTTGCCGCGACGCGGATAAATGCGCTCCAACAGCTCCTCCTCCTCATCCGATCACAGCCACATGTGTTGTGGATAAGCAGTCGCACCGCTCACCCAGCGGAAGAGTTTCTAGATTGGAGCTTCGAGATTGGTGTAAATGCTCACAGAATATGCTACTGTACAAAACATGCATATTTTCAAGCCGTAAGTTCCCTGTCTAATAGGTGACCAGCAGGGCCAAGCTGACATGCCCAATCGTTGCCAGTAACACGCGAGAAACACGCAATGGAACTTTCTGGATAATCAGACCAAATTATACAGGTGTATTTCTGCACAATGGAGGCTCTGTAGCTCTGTAGAATGTAGTCCTGCACAATGCTGACACTTTGGTTGTGCAAACTCTCATACCCAAAAAGCCGGATCTAAAAATAGAATCGCTCAAACATGAGGTAGTCCATGTCTTTGTAAAGGCGGAGTCCGTCAGTGCACAATGTGTGTCAATATCAAGCTTCTGCGACCGCGTACTTTAGGCTTGCAACTCTCAAGGGTTTTAGGCATCTTCGAAACCACCCTTCAGGGTCACATCCAAAAAGGGTAAGGCACTCCTAACAAAGGTGCGTTCGAATGGCCACTAGTAATGACTGTCGTCGCGCCATTAATTCTATCCACTTCTTCGTCTCTGTGGCTGGAGACGCTCACTGTTTCAAAGCCGTGCGCCCCAACCTGGCACCAACCACACCCAGATTTCCCCTGCGTGGAGCAGCATTTTCCACCTTCCAACCACAAGCAGACGATCCCAAGGGCGTCGCGCTTCACTATTTCATCACCGTTTCGCCACTTTAGCCGTTGAAGCCACAATCGTTCTTGTTGCTTCTGCCCCGCTGGTTGTTTCAGTTTCTCGCTCAAACCCTCATCTCCCCAATCTCCATCCAACCCTGACCTTAGAAAACCAACCCTGCTCAACTTCCCTGTCTGCTCTAACAACTAGCAATTGAGCAACAATTCCAACACTTCTCTAGCACCTACGCGAGTTCCAACTTAGAGACTTCCACCATGGCTGTTGCCTTAACCAGTTCATACATGTGCGAAGACTTCACCTCAGAGCCCGTGAGTTTCCGCCAAGCGTCATACCCCGACTTTATCGACAGCTGCTCAGCAGCGGCATCCGCCGAGCCTCTATCACCGCCGTCACCATCTTCCACTTCACACGCCGACTTCCACGACCAGCACCAACAACAACCATCTTCGACCTCAAAATTCCACCTTTCCCGACAATCGTCAAGCCGCCAACAACAAAGCCACAGCAACAACGGTCAATCCTTCCGTTCGCTCCCTTGCATCCGGTCCGGAGTCACAGTCCACCCCGTCAGGAAGAACGGCCACGTAACCCTAATGGAGATCCGGACTATTTCCCCTGTCGCCATCAAATGCGTCCGGCAAAACGGCCGTCTTATGATGGAAAAGGCCCAGCGCGGACCCTCTATGTCACCATCGGGACGCCTCACGCCCAGCGGATCTATCCGGTCACCAAATTCGGAGTTAAGCCCTCCATCGTCGGCTTCGAGCTCTCGCCGCTTTTCTGGATCATACGCGTCACTGGATGGATCGGTTAACGGCAGCGCGTGTTCGAGCCCATCCAGGTCTCCGTTCGAGCCTTCGCTGAGGAAGGCGGTGAGCGGAAGCAGCGCTGTTCCTGCCGTGACAGTGACGTCTGCGCCGCGGAACCTGTCGCGGTCGCGGACTCTACCGAGAGATTTCGATCAGGTTATTGTCACGCGCTGAGACAGCATGGCAGTCTGAAGGCTTCTAATTGTTGGACGTGCAATTCTTGTTACCGCATGACGCGCGGAAACTATGATCTTTCGGATGATTTGTGGATGATGCGAAACAAAGAGCGAGCAGCTCGTGCGTCGTCCACCGCGGCTTCGCGAGAGTGTTACATCGTCACCACATCCGCGCGTGGAATTTTCTGCTTCGCTGCGCGAATCTGACGCCGTTTTCGCCTTCAGCAGGCACCTGACTGGTGACTGTTGACGTGTACAGGGCCTGCTGTAGGCTGCTATAGGCTTTATGATGAGTAGTGTTACTGCAGACACCTGTGCCTTGGCGCAGGGTCGTTGCGATTTTTTGGGCCATCTCCTTGTGCATGGTCCTGCTGGTCCTTTGCCATGGTTGATGTGCCTCATATCTGGTTGATTAGATGTGTGTTGGTGTCACCATGATCGTTTTAATTGGAATATATTTTACAATGTTTTTGAACCTTATTGTTGTGTATTCACTTGTGACAAGTACCGTAAGCTACGGACCCTGAGCAATGGACGCACCCTACCGTATTAAGGATGGGCAGTGTCCCGACCCGACTGCCACAAACACCTGCTGCAACGATACAAAGCCGAATATATATTATAACCGGCTAATTGTCAAGGAAACCAAAGCTACGTACCTCTACCATGATAACATGTCTCAAAACTCAAGGTCATCCTCTACAACAATTTCAGGCAACGGGCCGTCAGAGTCAGAATCAAATCCAGCTGATGGAGCAGCTGCAGCACCACCAGATGTAACCCTGCCCCTCCCAGCAACAGCAGCAGTAGTAGCAGCACCCCCACCACTAACACCAACAGCACCACCAGTAGTACCAGCAGTAGCATCACCAGCAGCAAGTTTACTAGCCCCAACACCAGCTGCAGAGCCAGCTTGCCCTTCTTGTCCCGAACCTGTAACTCCACCCGAGCCCAAACCCAAACCTCCAGTCCCTGAGCCTCCAGTCCCTAGGTAACCGGACTCCTGTAGCATGCGAGCCATGGCAGTAGCCTTGTTTCGGGACTCCCTGGCCCTCCTAGCAGCTTCCAGCCCCGCAGCATCTGCCTCCTCCACCGTGGTTACCACCTTCCTTGCTCCGTAACCATGCGAACCTGCAGGTGCCGAACCTGCAAGCGCTGAACCTCCTCCACTCCGAGCCTGCTCTTTGGCCTGACTCCCAGCACCAGCAGCACCAGAAGCACCGGCACCAGAACCAGCAGCAGCAGCAGTAGCAGTAGCAGTAGCAGCAGCAGCAGCAGCAGCGCCTTGGTCGTTTTTAGCAGCTCCTCTCCTGCTCTTACCAGCAGACCCACTGCTGGCAGCAGGAGCAGCAGACGCGGAGGGGGAAGCACCAGCGGAGGCAGAGGGGGAGGAGGGATCATTGGCACTAAGGAACCGTGCCACAGCTGGTGCTAGCGTCTTGATAAAAATCTCCTTTCCCACATCCCTACGCTTCCCTCCCTTCTCTGCTCCTCCTGCCCCCCCTGCTCCAGCCCCTCCTCCTGCTCCTGCTGCTGCTGCTGCCCCTTTCCCTCGCGGGTTTGCTCCTCCTCTCCCTCGCCCCCCACTTCCTTTGTCGCTCTGTGATGAAACCGCAGGCGCTACAGCCGCTCCTGCTCCTCCTCCTGCTGCTGCTCCTTCCTGTTGCGGTGCTGGGAGTGCACCAGCAGTAGGAGCAGCAGCAGCAGTGGCCGTAGCAGTGTCAGCCTGCACAGGCGCAGGAGCAGCAGGAGGAGGCATGGGCATGGCAGGAGCGGCAACAGGAACAGCAGCACCATCCGTGTCCATAGGCATGGCTGCTGCTTGCCTCTCCATTGACTCTAATCCACCAGATGATCCCAAGGCTGCTCCCATCGCCGCCTGTCCTAGTGCAGCAACCATGCCACCTCCTCCCTGTGTGGCAACACCTGCCCCTGCCCCACCAGTAACACCTGCCCCGGCTCCACCAGTACCACCTGCACCAGGTGCACCTCCCCCGATCTCCATCAGGTCGTGCCCGAACGTGCCATACCCGTCCACTTCCGTCCACAGGTCCGCTAGCGGCCAAACATCGCCCCCCAGTGCTCCAAGCCCCGTGGCACCACCACCACCCACTCCCCCTCCCATTCCACCCTCCATCCCCCCTCCCATACCCCCGCCCATCCCCCCTGTTATCCCTCCGCCCATCCCTCCACCCATCCCCCCACCCATTCCCCCTGCGAACCCTCCACCCCCGGTCCCAGCTGCTCCAAGCATCCCCCCATACGCCCCCACTCCACCTCCTCCCCCTGCTCCTGCATCCCCCATTCCCCCACCCATACCCCCGCCCATTCCCCCGCCCATCCCCCCTGCAGCACCCCCTCCCACAGCAGCAGAGAGATTCATGGCCATAGAGACAAGGACAGGCTGCAGGGCGGCAGCAGGGGCGGCAGCAGGGGCGGCGAGATTTGTCTGTGCGGTAGGCGGCAGCAAGCTGCCAGAACTGGCTGGCAAAGTGGACGGCCGGCTGGCAGAAGGGGCGGGCGAGCCGCTCAGATTCTGCTGCTGCTGCTGCTGCTGCTGTAAATGCTCCTGCTGCAACTGTTCCTGCTGCTGCAACTGCTGTTGCTGCATCTGCTGCTGCTGCTGCAGGTTTGGTGGGGGTTGCGACGGTACAAGCAGCGACGAGAGCGGGTGGATAGAGGAGGAATGGGGAAGACACCTGGGATGCAACACAGGCTCGAGAGCCAGCAGAGCAAAGGAGCAGAAAGCAGCTACCTCCGTCCCCAGCTGCTGCCTCCCCTGCCGGAATATCCTGAGCGCTTGGCCAAGGTATGGTGGGCGGTATTTGCACGGGGCTAGGAGGGAGGCTAGGAGCGCACGAGATGCTGCCAGCTGGAGCGATCTGATTGCACGGTCCGACCCGGGCGTCCAGGGCATGTGCGCGTGCGTGCTGGGGGAGTTGTAACCGGAGTTGTAACCGGGAGTGGAGTTGAAACCGGAGTCGTGACCGCCGGTGCCGAGGGCGATGGCAGCGGTGCAGGTGAGAGCTGCGTCTACCTCCATTCTCCAGTGCTCCGGCAGCAAGGGGCCGCCCTGAGAGTGCAGGTAAGCAGAAAAGAGGAGAGAGAGGGAAAACAAAAGGTGATTTCTGTGCATGTGAGTGTCACACAGGTGACTGCTGCGTCCACCTCCATGCACCAGTGCTCCGGGAGCAAGAGACCACCCAGAGAATGGTGGGAAGATGAGGAGATGGGATGGGAGGGGGGGGAAGGGGAAGACAAAATGCGAGTGAGTGTCATACAGGTGAGTGCTGCGTCTACCTCCATTCTCCAGTGCTCCGGTAGCAAGGGGCCACCCTGTGAGGGGAAGAAAGAAGAGGAGACGCGAACGGAGGGGAGGGGAGGGAAAGAGAGGAGAAAAAGCATGTGAATGCCGTGCGGGTGACTGCTGCGTCCACCTCCATTATCCAGTGCTCCAGTAGCGAGGGGCCGCTCTAGCAAGGCCCCACCACACGCCCCACCCCCTCCGCACTCTTCTTCAGTTCACTCAGTCATCCGCTACACGCCCCCTCCGTACTCTCCTCTTTCCACCACCCCTCCTCTCAATATCACTCACCGCAAACAGCAGCGCCTCTACAGCCTCCAGAATGGCGATCTGAAGATCAACGGTCTGCAGGCACCGACTGCCCGAGATAACACCCGCCACAGCCGCACCTCCACCCGCCCCTCCCCCTGCACTTCCCCCTCCGCTGCCCGCTCCCCCCAGCTTCCCGCTGCTGCCTGCTGCAGCGCCGGGAGCGGCGTCAAATGCCATGCTGCCACCTGGCGAGCGGTGGTTGGTTGGGGAGAAGAGCGCCGGCATGGCTTGTTTGAGGTCTGTGATGCCGCGACCCACCACTATGGGGGCAATCTGCGTCATCATGCCTGGTGGGGGGTGGGAAGGGACAACATGTCACACCAAAACGGTGGCACAGCCTGCTTGAGGACTGTGATGCCGCGCCCCACCACTATGGGGGCAATTTGCGTCATCATGCCTGTAGAAGGGGGAAAGGGTGGTAGGGAGGGGGAGGGGAGGGGGTGGAAGGGAGGAAAAACAAGTCACGGTTATTGGGGTAATCAGGCACGGCCCGCTTGAGGTCTGTGATGCCACAAACCACCACTATAGGGGCGATCTGTGTCAACATGCCTGGAGAAAGAGGGGAGGACGGAAGGAGGGTGAGTGGAGAAAAATTATGGATATAGCCTGCACACCACACCACAATCCGGACACAGCCTGCTTGAGGCCTGCTCGCATCCACAATCCAGCATGGCTGGTAGGGGAGGAGAGGGCAGTGCATCGACAGAGAACACATTGGACCGGAGACAGGAACCACGGCAATCAATGCTACTCACTCACCCGCGCCCAGCGCATAGAGGTATTGAGTGGCCGTGCGGTAGAGCAGCGCCTTGATGGGCAGTGCAGGGGAATAAGTGGTGTGATGAAACAGACAGGCATCACAACTCACCCGCGCCCAGCGCATAGAGGTACTGAGTGGCTGTGCGGTAGAGCAGCGCCTTGAAAGGCAGAGCAGTTGCATCGTCCCCCGCTGCTGCTGCCCTACGAAAGGCCGACACGAGTGTGTGTGAGATGGTGGCTGTATGGGGTACGAGCTTGAAGGGACTTACCCGCGCCCAGCGCATAGAGGTACTGGGTGGCTGTGCGGTAGAGCAGCGCCTTGAAAGGCAGAGCAGTTGCATCGTCCCCCGCTGCTGCTGCCCTACGAAAGGCCGACAAGAGTGTGTGTGATATGGTGGCTGCATGGGGTAGGATGTGGCTGAAAAAAAAGAAAAGAGGGGCGAGGAGGAGGTGGGAGCGGAAGGAGGGATGGAAGGAAGAGGGGGAAGGGGAATGAGGGAAGGATTGAAGTGAGAAAGTGGATGGCACATAGCCGACCGATGATTCACTAAGTTTTCTCACTTCCGGAAACGCACCACTTCATCATTTCCCCACCACTGAGGAGATTATAGAAGCCTCTACCACCCTCAACCCCTCCACACACACTACCTCACTTCCCCTACCCCCCCACACTCACTTCCTCACGCCCTGCAGTGCCGCCAGCATCATCCTTAACCCTGCGCACTGCATCGCCGGCAGCTCCACACACAGCGCCAGCTGGCGGGCGGCAGAAAACGCCGAGCCCATGCCGTCCGGCCCTCCACCCGCATCAAAACCATCCCCCCCACCTCCTCCCCCCCTTCCTCCTCTCCCTCCAGAGGCGAGGAGAGAGAGAGGGATGACCATGCCTGTGCCCTCCACTTGGGTGAGTCGAATGACGGCATCAGCTGACACAAGGCGGTGGGAAAGGGCGAGCAGGGCGGAGAGGGGCGCTGGGACCTGGGAGGGCAAGGGGAGGGGGCGGGGGAGCGGTGGGGTGCGGAAGAAGCGTTACGAGGATAAGGAGAAGTCATGGCAGGAGGGAGAGAGAAAGAGGGAAGGGATGTCGGAACGAGAGAGGCAGGGGCAGACGAGCAAAAGGGGAAATGGAAGAAAGAGGGAAGGGGAACAAAAACGGAAGGGGAACAAAAGGGTGAGGGGAAGAAAGGGTGCGTGGGTACGTATCACCAATGCCACCACACTTCACTCCCTCAACATCTTTACACCGCTCTTAAGAACTCTCCAAACCAACCCACCGGTGCAGAGAACCCCTGAGTGATGGCCAGCTGGCACGTGAGCAGCAGCGCGTGCAGGCGGGGCACCACCCGCCGAAACACCGCCTCGGGATCTCCACCACTGCCGCTGCTGCTGCCACCACCGCCACTGCCGCTGCCGTTTGCGTTTGATATTGACGTCTGCCCTCCTTGCTTGTTCCGCCCTTGCTGCCCCTGCTGTCCCTGCCCACCTGATTCCTGCTGCTGCTGCTCGTCCTCCTTGGAGCAGTGAGCGGCGATCCAGTGTGCATGCTCGGGCACCAGAGGGACCGGCAAAGCTGCACTCTTGGAGTGCAGGAGCGTTGCCAGGGCCTTGAATCGCACAGATTCTGCCATCATGAAAAGAGGGAGGGAGGAAGGGAGGGCGGGGGACGGAGTGTTGGAGTGACGAGGCATTGCAAGTGCCAAGGCCCGCACAGAGTGACGAAGGGGGCCTGCCACTCTGCCATCATGCCACGCGGGTCCAGGGAAGAAGGGGGGTTTGATGGAGAGAGGGAGAGAATCAGGTGAGCTGCGATCCAGTGTGCGTTCTCGGGGACGAGAGGGACTGGCAAAGCTGCGCTCTTGGAGTGCAGGAGCGTTGGCAGGGCCTTGAATCGCACAGATTCTGCCATCATGCCAGGAGTTTGTGCAAAAAAGAGGGGATTGAAGGAGGGAGGGAGCGAATTAAGGTGAGCCGCGATTCTGTCCGCATGAGTAGGGACCAGAGGCACCGGCAGGGCTGCGCTGGGGTTGGCACGAAGGCTGAACAGAGCGCGAGGGGTCACGGGAGAGGGTCATGTGAGTCAACACCGATACCCGTACCTGCACCAATACTCAATCTTCATCCTGCACACACATGAATACCAGCCCCAGTGGCAGAACCACAGGGAGCACCACGAGCAGCACAGCACTGGCAGCACTCGCAGCCATGCCATCCTCGTGCAATCTCAGCACTTACCATCCTCAAATCCTGAGAGCAGCGTATCAAGGTCCGCATGTGTGGAGAGCAGCAGACGACGCATGAAGGTGGACCAGAGGGAAGGGTCACCCGAGGCACGGGGGAGCAGCACAAGCAGACTGCAGCAGGACTGGTGGGGATTGGTGGGTGGGGGTGGGGGTGGGGGTGCGGGTGGGGGAAGCAGGCATGTCGCTTAAAATGAGTCGGATGACGGATATTACAAGGAGGGGAATGATGAGTCGATTTTTTAGTCGACTCCACGTGTGATGAGTCGATTTTTGGTCGACTCAAAAGTCGGACATCATGAGGAGGGGAATGATGAGCCGACTTTACTGCAAGTCATCGTGGTTGCCTGCAACAAACCCTCCCCCCCCCCCCCCCCCCCCCCCCCCCCACACTCACATGGACGATGGATGCAGGCGCGTTGGGAGATGACAGCTTAGCCACCAGCAGAGCCTCCATCTGAAAGCATTCGGGCAAGGAGAGAATAGAAATACTAGTGACTGTGATGCAATAGCGGTATTATCACTTTTTAACAAAAGCAGAGGAGTCACGTTGTGGGCACATACTGCGGTAGCAGTGACAATATCAACAATGACAACAACAAAACCTTAACTACTGATTACATACCGCTGGCACGTGGTGCTTGAAGCTGGAGGGGAAGGAGCGCAGCAGCAGAGAGAGCAGCGAGAGGCACACACTCTGGCAGACGGGCGAGGGTGCATGAGAGAAGCAGAGGGGGTGGGAGGGCGCATGAGACACGTAGAGGGGGTGGGAGGGAAGGAGGGTGGGAGGAGAGAGGGAGAGAGGGAGAGAGGGAGAGAGGGAGAGAGGGAGAGAGGGAGGCACCTAAAAAAACACCGGCAGAGTAAATTCTGAATGCATCTAAATAGAATTCAAGTGATTTTCAACAAGAGACACTATTCCAGCTGCCAGCGTGCCACCCACCCATGGCTGCGTGCTGTCAGTGCCGCCCATCATCTCCGCCAGAAACGGCCAAAGCTTGCCGGCCAGAGTGCCAGCCTCCTTGCGTACACTCTGCACATGAGACAAAGTTGCCAGCCTGGCATGCGGAGAGAGGAAGAGCAGCACACGCATTAGCATGGTGAGCAGGAATGAGTGCTCATGCATGTGTGCATGTGAGTCTGCCTGTGAGTGTGCATGTGCGTGTGCACACAAGCGCAGGTGTGTGCGTGTGCACGTGCACGTGCACGTGCACGTGCATGAATGAGTGCAAGACTGCGAGCATGTGTGTGTGCATGGGTAACCCAACACGACGGTCCACAACGCACCTAGAGAAGAGGTCAGCAAGGGCAGCAGCAGCAGCCACGCGTACAAACATGGTATCCTGTACTATGCCCTCCTTGCCCTTCCCACCCGCCCTCTCCTTCTCCTTCCCCCTCCCATTCCCCCTTCCCTCCTTCCCCTCCTCGCCCTCCTCTCCCTCCGCCTCCCTCTCCTCATCCCCATCCTCTTCCCCATCCTCCTCCTTCCCCTCTTGCTGTGGTTGTGTTCCCTTCTCGCTCCCCCCACCGGCTCCTTTTGTCTTATTCGCCTTGAGCAGGGCGGCTAGCCGCCCCCACCACTTGGCGTACGTGTCAACCACGCGCTGAGCTGTGCTCTCTGCACACGTGGCACCTGCCAGCACACATGCCGCCCACCGATTGGCCGGCTGCGCGGAGGAGGAGAAGAGGCGGAGCATAGAGGAGGAGAAAGAGAGAGGGGAGTGGAGGGCTGGTTGGGTTAAACGAGACAAAAGGAGAAACAAGGAGAGGTAAGGAGTGGCAAAGAGAAGCAATGACTTCACAGATCTTGCCTTGGGGGCAGCACCTTCACTTTCACTGCAGGGTGTTTTTGAGAATTCTCAAAAACAACCTTCAATTTCACACATATAACTTCCTTCCGTTCCGTAACCTCGTTCACTTCCTTTCTTCCAGCAACCCTGAAAAATCCAAACCGCACCCACCAGCGGGGATGCCAATAACGCGAACACCCTGCTGCACCACGCGTCCACTGCCCGCCTCCGGGGGTCATTATTACTCCCCACAGCCGCCCAGTCTGGCTCCACTGCCAGCACGTGCTGCTCCCGCAGCACCCCCACCGCCGCGCGCACCCTGCCCATGTCGATCGGATCCTTGGGCGACGCGGGCAGGAAGGAGGTGAGGAGAGATTGCAGCAGGCGCAGGCGCAGACGGGGGTCCTGTGGGGTGCAAATGGGAAGTGGAGGGGTGGGGGATGAAGGAATCGGCCAGCACGTGTTGCTCCCGCAGCACCCCCACCGCCGCGCGCACCCTGCCCATGTCAATAGGGTCCAAGGGCGAGACGGGGAGGAAGGAGGTGAGGAGGGATTGTAGGAGGCGTAGACGGGCGGGGGTCCTGTGGGGGGGAGAGGGGAGCGGGGACATGGGGAATCCGGGATGAAAACGGGGGATGAAGCAGAATGGTGCATGGAGAAGGAAGTGACTGCCTTTTCGCGTGAGATGAGGGGACTCTTGAGGCGCCTCAAAGAGGGAGCAGGGGAAGGGTGGGGAGTGGAAGGATGTGGCATCGAGAAGGAGCGGCGGCCAACGGGAAGGGAGAGGAGGAGGGGGAAAGGGGGGGTGAGGGGTGGTGGGGATGGGGCTAAAATGGCCGAATTGCTGCGAAAAACCCAATGCGCAACAAACAGCCGCCGACGGGGTTAGGGTTTCCGCAAGAAGAGGAATCTTTCACGCCGCCAGCCCTATCCACGTGAAGTGGCAGCAGTTAGGGTTTCCCGACCTCACAATCCGGCGAACCTAATTGTTGATTGAACGCACCTGCGCGCCGGTGAGCACGTCGTTGCCCATTAGGAGAGGCTTAGCCGCCATTCCCGGCGCCGAGTGCGGCTGCTGCGATCGCACCGACTGCATCTCCTAAGCTCCTAGGTCAAATCCGATCCGATTCGAACCGATCCGACGCTATGTCCACGCGATTCGCGGTAATGTCCTCGCGATCCGGCCCAGCCCTGCGATGTAGCTTCGTCGGGTCTCGACCCTTCTGCTCCTGTAGCCTAGTCAGCGCGAAGCTGGCGGCACACGCGGGGATAAGAACGCGCACGTTTTACGCCGGGAAGAACTAATAGAGGTAGAAAGGTCAAGGTAGTACTAGATCTATATAGATTTCCTCTACAGGTGAATATCTGGAGTTAATTAAAGATAGATCTATAGGGAGTACAATTATTGTAGGCTTAACTCTAGGGAGTAATTTTCATTCAGGAGCGATGCGGGTCTTGTGAGAGTCTCACACGGAGGCGAGGACGGGGAGTGTGCTGGGGGACATGGATTAGAGAAGAAAACTCTCCAACCCAGCAGCCGCTGTTGGCTGGAAGAGCTTGGAGGCATACTCGGGGTTTAGGGCAGAAGGACAGGTCTTGCTGGTGTTCTTTGATTGCAGCACTGGCAGAATTTGAACAGAAGCAAACACAAAAGAAGAACAGATCAGAAGAATGCACTCCCGTACCGTCGATGCTCAGCCTATCACAAAAATTTGCTAAGCACAATTAGAAAATCAGTCACTCGCGAACGTTTTGCCTGTGAGTGGTGATTGTGCTGATTTCGGGGTACAGTCACCAAGTCGAGGAAGAAAAACATCTACAGTTCATAAACAACAACGGCTGCCTGTCATCAGAATTGTTTACCTGGTTACGAACTTAAACCCCTAGACTCGTTTCACATTCCAATTTCATTTTACAATCACATTTTTGCCCGTGGCGACAAGGGCGAATGTGGCGAGACGCCAAAAACTCGTTTCACTCACATGCCGCCCGCCTACCTGGTGTTCTTGAAATGAGCACCGACTGTACAACCTTGTTCTTGGATGGCTGAAACATGAGGAAATTCCAAACCCTACAACAGCCCGCCTGTCTGTTTCGCTGGAAGGCGCAGCCATGCCCTCTCTGGCCGGGATGGCAGAAGAGATGGGGAAAACAGTTGATGCCGCGAACAATCAACGTCAGCGACGATGTTTAACTGTTCGCACGCATGGTTGCCCACATCATTCCTAAGTTAGCGTCGCGAAAAATTATGCCAGCGACGAAATCGATTCGTCTGTACGCAAGGCCCCGGCTTCGTTAGGCCTTGCGAACGAGCTGCGAAACGAGGTGTGTGGACACAAACGGACTTCGACAACCGTATTCATCGTGACGCTCGCAAAACAATTGGAATGGACGGAGGGTAGGGCAGAATCGAGATGACGGTCAGGGCTGTCGATTGGTTCCAGGCCAACACTTGAGAGTCTGAGGTGCCCGTATTTCAGCCCTGAAATCTCCGGTTAGTGTCCTTTTCCGAGCCTTTAAGCGTCCGGGAAAGCACCCAACCAAAAACTTAAATTCAGGGCTACACTACAACAATCAGGGCAAACTCTATTTAACGACACTAATACAGGCAGAGTTCATTTAGAAGTGGCAGGCTTGCGGCGCTTCTCCCCGTCGAAGATCTGGTACACACCTGCCCAGTCCACGTCGTAATCTAGCATTTTCACGGTAGGATGGGATAGGATGGAATTGGATGGGATAGAAAGGGAAAAACGGGAGAGAAGAGGGTGCGGGGGGTTGGTAGGAAGGGCTGTGAAAATTTCCGGGTAAGGCCGGAAACTTCCGCGCGGAATCAGGGAAACCCTTCAAGAGGCCCCTGTAAGAGTCAGGGGAAGGCCCAGCCCACGCCCGTTATCATTCCGGGCTGTACAAAAAATCAACCCTGAGAATCTGGACTTTGGGGCAAAGTCAGACCTTAATGTTCAGGGCATTAAGGCCATATGCCCTTGAATCGACAGCCCTGATGACGGTGCGACCTCCCCAAATCTGGCGGCGCCGCCTCAGAAAATGAAGCCACCTGCCGGCAACTCGTCCACGATTGACCTCTGAATGTCGTCGCTAACCACTGAATGATCGCATCGCCATCGTTCGAACGCCGCTCGCGAATTGGTTTTGCTGATCTCGCGCCGCTTTCGCTGGAAGCGAAAAAGGTTACCCGAACAAACTCTAGTCGCGCAATCAGAAGCCTCGCGAAAACGGTTGCCCAACCAATTCAACAGCACACCTCCGCCGATTTTGTCAACGAAATCTGTCCTTCTGGGAACTACGTGTGCTGTGTGGCAGATTGCACAAGAGGGGAAAACGACTCCCCACCCCACAGAGTGATTCGCTTACACGGGAAGTAAACTCAAACCACGGAGAACAAAAAAAAAAACTTTGGTATGCAAACAAAGTACCATCACCTTGGCAAGAAGGGCAGCAACACCATGGCAGCAAGGGGCAGCACAAACCGATAGCACGCCTGACAGGCAAACACATTTATATGCCTAATCTCCACTGCGACCCTTATTTCAAAGTCATTTCCCCTATGTTCCGGAACCATTTGGCGACAACAGCTTGCTCTGGCATCCCTCCCTGCTGATGTTGCTGATGTCCCTCCTCTGCAGTAGCAGCGGCTGTAACGGCTGCTGTGCCTCTTCTGATGCAGCCGCTGCTGTAGCAGTTGTTGTGGGTGCCCTGTAAAGGCTGCTGCAGCTGCTACAGTTGGCATGTCTGGGAAAGATACGAGATTATCGCTTGCTTCCAACCATGGCTTGCGGAGGATTGCGGACTGTGGAGAGTGGTGACGAGCGGTGAGGGGGGGTACATCAGTGGAGCAAGATGCGGAAAGCGGACCACAACACAAAAAGGCAACTTCAGGACCTGGACTGGCCGATCAGAAACAGAAAAGGCAGCAAACCCAAGGCATGGCATCACAATCAATGGATATGGCATCACAATTGATGGTTATGGCAGAAAAAATAATAATAATAATAATAAAAAACATTTGTAAGTACAGACTGCTGAAACATGCACTCCATTTTTAAGCGGATGTGGTATGAAGGCAAACTGTGTGACAATGCAAGTGGTAAAGTTCATAACCTTCCTACGGTAAGGACAACATAAGTAGCAAGCACCAAACCACGTTTCGCCACTCTGCTTTCGCATACCTAAGCGTCAGTACTTCGCTTCAAGTGACAGGCGCCTAAAATAACGACTCAACGCTTACCTAAGTGTCAGTACTTTGGTCGCTTCATGGGCCCTCCAGACCCAGACCCCATAGGCCTCTTCCCCATAGGCGGAGGGGGGCCCCTCCCACTCCCCCCTTTCCCCATCGGCCTCCCCCCACTCCCCCCCCCTCCTCCCGGCCTTCCCCCACTGCTTCCCCCCATCGGCCTCCCCCCTCCCCCTCCGGATTTCCCCATAGGCCCCTTCCCCATAGAAGGTCTCCCATCTGGGCGCCCACTCCATCCCCCCTTTCCCCCGCTCCCTCCCCCTCCCCCTCCTCTCGAATCCCCAGGCCTCCCCCCACCACCACTCCCTCCTCCTCCCCCCCCAGCCCCTCCCCCTCCCTTCCGCCTCCTCCTCCTCTCACCGTCACTATCACTCTCCTCCCCCTTCTCCCGATCCTCCCTTAGCGCCTTCGCCTCCAGCTCATCCCACGTCGGACCCTCCTCCTCCTCCTCTTCCTCCTCCTCCTCCTCCTCCTCCTCACTATCCACCACACTCTCATCATCCTCGCTCTCGTCATCGTCATCGTCGGATGCAGCCTCCTCCAGATCCGACGGCTCGTACGCCTGCGATTCCTCCGACTCCTCCCCCTCGCTGTCCGAAGCTTCCAGATTCAGAAACTCCCACCCGCCGTCCGCGAGAAAGGCCTCGGGATCGCTCATGATATTCTGCAGAATTGCCTTCCAGCTGAGATTCAGACGTGACTCGTAGTACTTGATGTTCATCGAATTCAGCCATTCTTTCACCGAGTCGAGCGACGTGCTCGGAATCGCATCGATCCGCAGCACATCCCGCTTGAAATCCTTGAATACGATCGCCATGTCAAAAGTTTTCTGCCCGAGACCCACGCGCTCCAGATTTACAATCTCTACCTCGTTCAAAGTGACCACCAGAAAGGGCACCTCTATAAGCTCCACGAGACAGTTCACCGTCGGTACGATGAACGCGGACGACTTGTGCGGGACGCCGTGAAACCCTAATTCCCGGAATGGCACGTCGAATTCGAGGTCGAGACGAGAGAGCTCGCGGTCCTTCTCCCAGAGAGAATGCACCGCGCTGACAAAGGATTTAAACTCCCGGTTGATCTTGCTCCGCCGCTCCCGCTCCCTCTGCTCCTCCTCGATTTCGTCCGGATCGTAAGCCGAGCGGCGCGAGCCGCCCACGGTTTGGACCACCTCCATGACCTCGGCGAAGAACTGCACGTCTTTTGTCTTTTTCTTGCCGACCATGATGGGGTTGTGTAGGTGGAAGTGCAGCAGGGTGATCATCTCGTTCTCGGCGGGCTGAAAGAAGGCGTGCTTGATGTTGCCATACATCACCTCCACCCTCTCGTCCGGCTGAAGGGGAAAGGACGGGCGGAGAGTGGATAGCAGATGCGGAAACTTACCATCACAATCAACCGCATGCCACCACATGCTACCACATGCCACTGCACAACCCACCTTGGCAGTGGAGCAGCGAAACCCACACAGATGAGCCTCCAGCGACCCTGTGAGTTTGCGTCCTTTTCCTCCGAATGACCAGCGGATCCAGAGGTCGGACAGGCGGGGCTGTAAATCCTCATTAGCCTCTTCCATTCCTTACCTTGCCAGTAGAATAGCGGAACCCATTCAAATGAGCCTCCAGCGACCCCGTAAGTTTCCGTCCCTTCCCTCCGAAGGAAGGGCGGATCCAGAGGTCGGGCAGGCGGGGCGGGCGGCCCTTGCTGAGCTGGAGCATGACAAACTTCCAGCCACTTTTTCAGCGCCGTAGAAACCTTCCCATCACAGAACCGCATGCCACCACACACCACCCACTGCACGGCCCACCTTAGCAGTCGAGTACCGGAACCCATTGAGGTGAGCCTCCAAAGACCCAGTGAGTTTCCGCCCCTTCCCTCCGAAGGAAGGGCGGATCCAGAGGTCGGGCAGGCGGGGCGGGCGGCCCTTGCTGAGCTGGAGCTTCTCCTGCGTGACAAGTGTCGCTCTCTCAGCACGCTCCGACTCCCGCTGCCGCACGTGCTTGCTCATGGTCTTGATCAGCTGCACCACCTGGTAGAGGAGGGGGGTGAGGTGGGGGATAGGAGGTGACGGAGGGGAGGGTAGTTGAAGGGAGATTAAAGAACAGTTAATTTGGTGTCGCTCCGACTCCCGCTGCCGCACGTGCTTGCTCATGCTCTTTAAAGTTGCACCACCTGGTGGAGGAGGGGGGTGAGGTGGGGGATAGGAGGTGGGAGTAAAAGGTGGGGAAGGAAAGAGTATCTGTAAAGGGAAGTCAAGGGCACGTGCTTGCTCATCGTCTTGATCAGCTGCACCACCTGATGGTTGCAGTGAGGTGGGGGATGAGCGAAGGGGAGGGTAAGAGGTGAGGGAGGGGAGAGTAGTTGTAGAAGGGACTCAAGGGCTCGTGCTTGCTCATGGTAAGTTTCACCGCTTTCACATCAAGAAGGCAGGAATGTAGATGTTCCCTCCGTCCTGCTGGCTGGTTCTCAAGCTACCTACCTACCTCCTCCTTCTCCCACAAGCACCACCACTTGCTTGAGACGGCAGTGTGCAACCCACGTTACCTGGTTACAAGTGCTTGTTCTCACCTGATTAGTGTGTCTGGAGTCCGTAGACTTGAACGACAACTCTTTGATGAAGATGCTATCAGGGAATTTCTGAATGGGCAGGTCGGCAGCGCTGAAGCCAGCCCCAGGCACGTTGAAGATGATGCGGATGTAGATGTGCCCTCCGTCCTGCTGGCTGGAACTTGTACCAACCTAATTACCTGGTTACCTGGTTACATGTGCCTACCTGGATCTGGATCCATGCTCTCACCTGATTCGCATGTCGTGAGTCTGTTGACTTGAACGACAGCTCTTTAATGAAGATGCTATCTGGAAACTTCTGCATGGGCAGGTCGGCAGCACTGAATCCAGCCCCAGGCACGTTGAAGATGATGCGGATGTAGATGTGCCCTCCGTCCTGCTGGCTGGTGACGTTGCGGATCATGCTCACGTGGAACGGCACCAAGAGACCATAAATGGGCAGCAGGACGGATTCATGCCTTTGATCCACCTGAGAGAAAGGGAGGCAGAGGGAGCGGTGGAGAGAGGTGGAGAGGGATGGAGAAACAGAGGGACATTGAGGTGACCTGAGCAGTGGCGACAGGTGGAAGGGAGACAGAGGGTGAGTGGCGCTGAAGCCAGCCCCAGGCACGTTGAAGATGATGCGGATGTAGATGTGCCCTCCGTCCTGCTGGCTGGTCACGTTGCGAATCATGCTCACATGGAACGGCACAAGGAGACCGTATATGGGCAGAAGGACGGACTCGTGCCGTTGATCCACCTGTAAACAGCAGGGTGGTAGAGGGAGAGGATGGATAGATGGAGAGGGGGAGGGGAGGCGAGACACACAAGCACATGAGTGAGTGAGCCGTCCTGCTGGCTGGTGACGTTGCGGATCATGCTCACGTGGAACGGCACGAGCAGGCCGTATTTGGGCAGAAGGGCAGACACGTGGCGTTGATCCACCTGCACGCAGAAGAGGTAGATGGAGTGGGGGGGGGGGGGATTGAACGAAATCCACGTGCATCGAGGTGATTTTTTAGGCGCCTAGAAAAATCAGGACACACTCGTGCCGCTGGTCCACCTGCAAACAAGGGTGGTCGGGCGGGCACGTGTGGAAAGAGTATTTTTGAGACGTCTCAAAAATACTTTGGTCGCCTACGAGTTTAAGACGGACTCGTGCCACTGATCCACCTGCAAACAAGGGGGGTCGGGAGGGAGGGAGGAAAAGAGAACGGTGGAGACGGGTGAGGGGTGAAGGGAGGGATTGTGCGGGTTGGAAAGCCACGAGGAGGCTGTACATAAACAGCAGCACGGATTTATGGCGCTGGCCTGGCCTAGCCCCCCCAGCAGCCAGGCGCCAGGCCATCTTTCGCTGTGTGCTCTCCCCACCACCCACCTACCTGATTCTTACAGCTCTTCATCGCAAAGGGAGCTAATCTCGACTTGCACGGCGTCTCAAACGGCCTACCTGGATCTTGTAATCCTTCATTCGAGGGAAATTCCGTCCACATCCCCATACGACACCAGGTCGCCCGTCTGCCTCTTCGCCCCCTCGCCCTCACGTGCGCCCAGCACCCCCGCAGCCAGGGGCCGGGCTGCGTGTCACTGTCCCCCCCACCACCTCCTAACCACCTACCTGAATCTTGTAATCCTTCATGGCCAAGGGGATTTCATCCACGTCCCCATACGACACCAGATCCCCCATCTGCATGTTCGCCCCCTCGTCCCTCCCACCCACCTGGATCTTATAGTCCTTCATGGCCAGCGGAATCTCATCCACATCACCGTACGACACCAAATCCCCCGTCTGCCTCTTGGCTCCCTCACCCTCCCACTCGCCCTCCCCCTTCGCCCTCCCACTCGCCCTCCCCCTTCGCCCTCCCACTCACTCGTCCTCCCACTCGCCCTCCCACTCGCCCTCCCACTCGCCCTCCCACTCGCCCTCCCACTCGCCCTCCCACTCGTCCTCCCACTCGCCCTCCCACTCGTCCTCCCACTCGCCCTCCCACTCGCCCTCCCACTCGTCCCTCCCATCCCTCCTACCTGGATCTTGTAATCCTTCATGGCCAGCGGGATTTCGTCCACATCCCCATAAGATACTAGGTCGCCTGTCTGCCGCTTCGCCCCCTCGCCCTCTCGAGCGCCCAGGCCCCCAGCAGCAAGGCGTCTGGCCGTTTCCTCAATCTTCTGCTTCGCCAGCTCCGCCTGGTGCTGCCGCCTTCATCACCAGAAAAATCTCCTCCAAATGCTCACACATGGACCCACAGACACACATGCACCCACATGGACCACGGGAGCCCAACCCCCCACCTACCTGGATCTTATAGTCCTTCATCGCGAGCGGAATTTCATCCACATCACCGTACGACACCAAATCCCCTGTCTGCCGCTTCGCCCCCTCGCCCTCGCGCGCCCCCAGCCCCCCAGCAGCAAGCCGCCGGGCCGTTTCCTCAATCTTCTGCTTCGCCAGCTCTGCCTGGTGCTGCCGCCGCAGCTCCTCCTTTGTTGCCTCCTGATTCTCCGACCGCAGGTGAGCACGCGCAAACACAGTGGGCTCCGCCCCGCCTGCTGCCTCTGCCGGTCGTTTCCCCTTGTCTGCCTCCTCCTCTTCTTCATCTTCCCCCTGATACGTTGGGAAAGGGGAAAGGGGAAAAGGGAAGGTGAGCGGAAAATGAGTCGCCGGGCGGTCTCTTCGATCTTCTGCTTCGCCAGCTCAGCCTGGTGCTGCCGCCGCAGCTCCTCCTTTGTGGCCTCCTGATTCTCCGACCGCAGGTGAGCACGCGCAAACACTGCCGGCTCTCCAGCCCCTGCTGCCTCTGCTGGTCGCTTGCCCTTGTCTGCTTCGTCCTCTTCTTCATCTTCCCCCTGGTACAGCGCATCAACACGGCAGGTGGGGGAGTGGGGGAAATGGGAGGGGAAGATGAGGCAAGGACGGCTGGAGCTGCTCATTCAGCTCCGCCTCGTGCTGCCACCGCAGCTCCTGCTTCGTGGCTTCTTGATTCTTCAACCACATGTGCACATGGGCGAACACAGCAGGTTCCCCTGCCCCGGCTGCTTCTGCTGGTCGTTTCCCCTTGTCTGTTTCGTCCTCTTCCTCTTCGTCTCCCCCCTGGTAAATCGCACCAGCACCGCAGGCAGGGAGGGACGGACGGGGAGCGGAAGAAGAGGTGAGTGCAGTTTGGGCTGCTCAACCAGCCCCCCAGCAGCCAGGCGCCAGGCCGTCTCTTCAATCTTCTGCTTCGCCTGCTCCGCCTGGTGCTGCCGCGCTTAACCCGCCAATCCCCCCATTCACCCCACACCGCTCCTCTTACCTTGAGAGAGTAGGCGACATCGGCAAAGGACTTGGAAGCGGAGGCAGTAGCAACGTCCACCCAGCGGTCCTTGTCAGCAGCGCCCCTCACCGCCACCGTATCCGCCACCAGCAGTGCATACTTCCTCAGCTTTCAACGTGCACACCGCTCATACCTTGAGGGAATAAGCGACGTCAGCGAACGATTTAGAGGCAGAAGCAGTAGCCACGTCCACCCAACGGTCCTTGTCAGCAACGCCCCTCACCGTCACCGTATCCGCCACCAGCAGTGCATACTTCCTCAGCTTCGCATTCCCGCCCTTGCCCTCCTTGCCCCCTTCCTTTCCGGCCTCTGCGTTTCCGTCCGCCTCGCCGCCCTCCTCCCCGCCAGCCTCTGGGTTGGTGAGGCCGTGCAGTCCCAGCACCACGTTGAACGCCATGCCCGATTTCACCGTCCTCTCATTCTTGGCGTTTAGAGTGAGACCAGCCTCTCGGAATTCTGCAGTGCATCACACACAGGGCAACATAGGGCAGGCGAACAAGCAAGGGGCAGTGGTGAGGCTGTGCAGCCCCGTTCGCCTCCGCTCCATCCTCCCCTCCGGCCTCTGGGTTGGTGAGCCCGTGTAGCCCCAGCACCACGTTGAATGCCATGCCTGATTTCACTGTCCGATCGTTCTTGGCGTTGAGGGTCAGACCCGTCTCTCGGAACTCTGCAGGGAGGCACAGGACAGGCAGACAGATGAGTGTTGGGTTGTGTAGCCCCAGCACCACGTTGAATGCCATGCCTGATTTCACTGTCCGCTCATTCTTGGCGTTGAGGGTCAGACCCGTCTCTCGGAACTCTGCAGGGAGGCACAGGACAGGCAGACAGATGAGTGTTGGGTTGTGTAGCCCCAGCACCACGTTGAATGCCATGCCTGATTTCACTGTCCGCTCGTTCTTGGCGTTGAGGGTCAGACCCGTCCCTCGGAACTCTGCAGGGAGGCACAGGACAGGCAGACAGATGAGTGTTGGGTTGTGTAGCCCCAGCACCACGTTGAATGCCATGCCTGATTTCACTGTCCGCTCGTTCTTGGCGTTGAGGGTCAGACCCGTCTCTCGGAACTCTGCAGGGAGGCACAGGACAGGCAGACAGATGAGTGTTGGGTTGTGTAGCCCCAGCACCACGTTGAATGCCATGCCCGATTTCACCGTGCGCTCGTTCTTAGCGTTGAGGGTCAGACCCGCCGCTCGGAACTCTGGGGAGAGACACACGGCAGCGCAGGAGAGCACAGGGGAGAGAGACAAGCAGGGGGTGTGAGCCCGTGCAGTCCCATGCTCCCTCCCAGCACCACATTGACTTTTGAGACGTCTCGAAAGGCAGTCCCAGGCTCCCTCCCAGCACCACGTTGAACGCACATGCACTGTACGCAGAGAAGAGGTGGCAGAGCAGAATGGGGGCAAAAAGGCAGCAAAGGTACCTACACGTGCGAGGATTTTTTAGGTGCCTCAAAAGGTTTTTACTTTTGAGAATTATTAAAAGAAATTGCCTCAAAAGGCAGCAAAGAAACTTACACGTGAGAGCAGCAAGACTGAAAGCTCATCCTTCAACCCCCTCCTCTCACCGATGCCTATCCCAGTGCCGGCGTGTTTGGTGAGATGAGCCACCAGCTCCGGTGCTTCCCTCTCCACCACCGCCACTGGTACACATCCCCCAACCGCACCCGATGCCTACTACGAGCCTGCCGCTCAGCCACTTTCACAAATGCCTATCCCTGCACCCCTCCTCTCACCGATGCCTATGCCAGTGCCGGCGTGTTTGGTGAGATGAGCCACCAGCTCCGGTGCTTCCCTCTCCACCACCGCCACTGCTGCCCGGTACACATCCCCCAGCCGCACCCCTGGCTTGATTGCTGCTATTGCCGCTTCCTGTGCCCGCAATAGCACCTGGTGGCATTGTGCGAGGTGAAAGGGATTTGAAAAACACGGAGGAGACTTTTAAAACGGCTATTGAGACGCTCAGAACCCAGCCGTACCCCCGGCTTGATCGCTGCAATTGCCACTTCCTGTGCTCGCAATAGCACCTGGTGGGGTGATGAGAAGTAAGTGCAAAGAAGGGGTAACGCCTTATGAGACATACGTCTTTCAATACCCAGCCCGAGCAACGTTGGAGCAGTGGGAGGCGTATCTGGCACCGATGGCACAGATGATGGCACAGACAGACAGACAGATTCAACACTTCACTTTTTCCCTCACCTGGTACGCCTTCTCCTGTGCCTTGGTGGCATCAATCAGGTAGGTGCGCGCGACATTGGAGCAGTAAGAGGCGTATCTGGCACCGATGGTGCAGATGATGACACAGCTGGTGGCACAGACAAATTCGACCCTTCCCTTTGCTCCTCACCTGATAGGCCTTTTCCTGTGCCTTGGTAGCGTCAATGAGGTAGGTGCGCGCGACGTTGGAACAGTAGGAGGCGTATCTGGCACCGATGGCACAGATGATGCCTTGAATCATAACCACCTCCCCCCCCGGTTCTCTCTTCACATGCTACGCATCTCCTCACCTGGTATGCTTTCTCCTGTGCCTTGGTAGTGTCTATGAGGTAGGTACGCACAACGTTGGAGCAGTAGGAGGCGTATCTGGCTCCCATGGAACAGATGAAGACACTGGTCGATCTACCCTCAGGCCTGCCTCCCTCCTGGTAGCCCTTCCCATGCCTTCCTACACACTCCCCTCACTCGCTCTCACCTCACCTCATATGCCTTTTCCAGTCACCTCCTCACCTGGTACGCCTTCTCCTGTGCCTTGGTAGCGTCAATCAGGTAGGTGCGCGCGACATTGGAACAATAGGAGGCGTATCTGGCACCGATGGCACAGATGATGACACCCATTGAGTCATAGCACAGAGGCTCGTCGCTGCTCACTGCTGATGCTCGCAGGTCATATTGTCCCCCACTCTGCCAAGGGACGGGGTGAGAGGGAAGGGACAGAGAGAAAAGAAGCAGGAAAAGAGGGCGAAAGGGAATGGAGGGGACAGGAGATGGGGAGAGGCGATGGCACAGATGATGGCCCATGGAGTCATAACGGAAGAGTCGATGGTCGTCACATTGAGTCAGCACAGAGGGTGGTCATTGCTGACGGCTCATTGCTGACGCCCTCAGGTCGTATTGGCACTGCTCGGCCAGGGAGAGGAGAGGGGGAGGGGGAGGGGAAGGAGGGGAGGGATGGAGAGAGAGGATGGAAGTGAGCGACGGAGGAGAGGAATACAGAGGTGGGATGGAGAGGTTTCGAGACGTCTCAAAATGGCCACGTGATAAAAGAGATGTTTTGAGACGTCTCAAAACATCTCTTTTATCACGAGGGGAGGGATGGAGAGAGAGGATGGAGGTGAGCGACGGAGGAGAGGAATACAGAGGTGGGATGGAGAGGTGAGGTTAATGGAGAAAATACTACAGAAGCACTAGATATGTGTGAATAATCATCGCGGCTGTTCCGAGCACTAACTTGCGATGTGGCACTTACTTAAAAGACGGGGGTAGCTAGCAGATGCAACTGGAAGACGGGCGGGTAGCAGATGTCTCAGTTGTCGGGCTTGAGCTTCACTATGGCCTAGGTAAGCACCACACCTGGTGATAACAGATGTCTTAACTACCAGAAGTAGGGGAATGAGCCCATCCGAAACACCTGAAAGACGGGGGGGAGATTGAGCAGATGTTGGAGGTACCTGGAAGACATAGGGTACGCACCTGGAAGACGGGCGGGTAGCAGATGTCGCAGTTGTCGGGCTTGAGCTTGACTTTGATCTTGGCAGGGTCCGTAATCACCTCCTCTGTCTGCTCCATCAGCTCCGCGTGCGTCATGCTGCGCTCCTCGTCTATCAGCACCTCCATCTTCGGCACCACGAACGCCTGAAATGGAGATAAGGAGGGGTTGGGTTGGGTGGAGAAAGGGAAGGGACGGGGAGACAGAGGGGAATGAGGGAAGGACGAGGAGCCATGCTGCGCTCCTCGTCTATCAGCACCTCCATCTTCGGCACCTCGAACGCCTGGGGGGAAGGAGAGAGAGATGAGAGGGGAGAGGAAATGAGGGGCGAAATGCGGAGATGGAAAGGGAGCGAAGGGACGTGCAGCGTTCCTCGTTCATCTCATCAGCACCTCCAACTTCAACACACAAACGCTTAAAGGAACAGGGGAGTCTGGGAACATCCCTGCCTGTCATCCAGACCCACCCCTCCCCACCCCATCCCACCCAACCCAACCCTACTCCACCCCATCACACCTTGACCGCCTGCGCACTAAGAAACGCGGCCTTCTTAACGTTGATCATCTCGCCATCATCCTTCACCGCCAGAATGTCCCGTCTCCAATCCCACCCCACCAAGGCCCACTCCACCCCACCCCACCCCACCCCATAGCCCCACCTTGAGCGCTTGAGCACTAAGGAACGCAGCCTTCTTGATGTTGATCACCTCGCCCTCATCCTTCACCGCCAGAACATCCCATTGTTTCATCCAAACCCACCCATTTCCACCTCATTCCACCCCACACAAACCCATTCTATCCAACCCCACTCCGCCCCATCCCACCCCATCCCACCTTGAGCGCCTGAGCACTAAGGAATGCAGCCTTCTTGATGTTGATCACCTCGCCATCATCCTTAACCGCCAGAACATCCCCCAGCGCCGGACCCACATCCACCGTCTCCAACCCCTCTCCACCGCTCTCCCCGCCCTCCCCACCGGCTGCTGCCTCCACTGCAGCCGCCCATTTCTCCATGATCGCCCCCTCCGGAGCCTCCTTTGCCAGCACGCCCAGTCGCACCGGACCTCCGCCTGCCGAGCCTGCGCCGGAGGCTCGGATGGCGTCGATGACCTGTGCCATCTGGGAGGACCCGTCCTCGCTGCGAGGCTTGGGATGCAGCACCATCTCCACTCCGCCTGGCGCGGGGGAGGGGGGGGAGGGAGAGGGGGAGGGGGGGAGCGGAAGGCGAGAGGGGGGAAGGGGGAGAGTGGGAGCGGGGGGGAAGATTGGGACAGATTATTACTGGCTGTCCTCGCTGCGAGGCTTGGGGTGCAGCACCATCCCCACTCCGCCTGGCGCGGGGGGAGAGGGAGGGCGAGGAAAGGGAGGGGCGGGAAAGGGACGGGAGGAATGGGGAATGGGGAGGGGGGATGGGAGGAGTGAGGGAAGAGGTCTGGTAAGACAGATAATAAAATCGTCTACTGGCTGGAAAATTAGGGTGACCGGTCACTTCAGGTGTACACACTCCATCATCTTCCCTCACCTCAGAACACCGCTCCCCCTTCCACCATCCAACCCCCTACCTTACTCACACCCTTCCCCTCTCTCCAGATTCTCAGCATCCGTCTAACGCATCTCCCCTGATCTCTTCCGAACTGATCTCTGGCTTTTTTTTCCCCCCTACCGGATTTCTCCGCGCACACGCGCCGGACGGCCTCCAGATGCTGCGCCTTCTTCTGGCTGCACACCACGTGCACCGTTCCGCCGCTTCCGCCGCCTTCCCCGCCGGCTCCGCCGCCCTGCAGAAACACCATGACGGTCTCGGGGAACTCGTAACCCAGTAACCAGATCTGCAGCGCCGACGACTTGAGGTATCGCATGTCCTCGCTCGCCGGGGGAGTCGCGACGGCGAACGCGCTCGTGTTACCCCACGAATGGCTTTCGTCCTTTCGCCAGCTGTCGTAGAGAAGCTTCAGGCGGCGACCGAACGTGTCCAGATCGAGCTGTAGCCCGCTCCCGCCGCCGCCTCCGGAGGGTTTGGAATCTCCCATCTCGACCGTCTACGCTCGTGTATGACGACAATTGGTTGTCTGAATGTCAATCTCCAGATATTCTTCTACTGAAGTGGTGATATCCAGGTAATATGGCTGTCAGACTATTATAATCCAGGCTTCGATGGATAGGTATTACTAATCTTTCAGAATCTGATAGTTGCTGTGACGGCCAGGCGTCGATCGTAAATGCTTCACGGAGCCTGATTACCAGCCCTCTCAGGCTTTTTTATACACCGAATTGCTTTGTCTCGGGCGCTAAGACGTAACTGTCACCAGCTAACCGCTTGTATGCAATCGGCAGAATCAGTCGTGGACGTAGGTAGCCTCTCCTGCAACGAAGCGACGATGAAACTGAATAACCAAGCTCGAATCTGCAAACAGAAGCCCGCAAGACTTGGCGCGGCGAACGTTCCGTGGAGACGGCAAAACCTCGTCAGCCCGAACCACCACCAGCTGCAGCGAATACACGAATCCCTACATGAAGCAGCTAGAACCTTTCACGAAAAGCCTTAGCTAATGTGGAGCTAGGACGGATCCTAGGGACTTGCGCCAGGGGAAGTAAGGGCGCGTGTGATCAAAGTTCGAACTTCCCAAAGTTCGAACTTTTAGAAAGGTTCTACACGGTAGGATACAATTGAGCGATGTCTCTCCACGATGCAAAGCGGTTTGAGTTCGAACTTTGACAAAAATCCTTGGATCACACGCGCCCTAAGTTTGCGCGGGAAGCACTCGGTAAAAATACTTGCAGAACAGTGTGTGTGAGATTGGGAATCATTTTCGGAAGTTGGGAAAATTGTTACACTCAGAAGCCGAATGTTGATATGGAAGGTGCTTTTTGAAACACTGTTATTGGACAGAAAAATGGCTTATGGACACTAAATTACAATCTAGAAACAAATCAGAAAGAGAAGCTGCCTTTCAGGCAAGCAAAAAGATAATACTCTAACCCTAAGTGCCAGGAAGGACTTGATGTCCCAGAAAATAAGACACAGTAGAGAATCTTGGTGCGTTCCACCAAGTTGTAACGAGGATTATCGGCACCGCACGCTCCAAGCGTGCACGAGGCACGCGCCGCGCTCGGGTATCTACACCGAGCGGACAACAGCAGCGAGGCGCGATAATAAATGACCCTGCGCGGTCCGCAACACGGAAAGGCTCTCCGCCTTAGTTCGCGCGTCCATCGTGGTATTCCTCTCCAGCTGAACTACCGCAGACTGAAGCTCGAAAAGCATCTTCTTCACAGCAGCAGGACACGAAACGTCAATCCCAAGGGCGGAGCTTGCAGAAGGCACGCAAGAAGATGCGGATGAGTCACGGCGAAGAAAGGATGACTCAGCTTGTGTCGCTTCAGCCTCGCCCTCTCTCGGTTCAGTACATTCGGGGTCGTTGCTACACACAGAAGCGGTATCGTCGTCAGTTTCCGGAACCTGTGCAGGGACACGGCGCAAAACCACCGCAGCTGCCGCCGGCAGCGGCGCTTCAGACCCCACCGCGGCTCCTGAGTTCTGCCGCTGCGCTTGCTTGAACGCAGCGAACAGCTGCAGCGCCTTGCGCGCCGACGGCTGCTGCGCGCCGAGCTGCGCGTGGAGAAACAGAAGAAACCCGTTCACGTCGTTTCCAAACTCCTCCTTCATCGCGACGCGATCCCTCAGCTTTCCCACCGCCGCGTCCCACTGCGCAAGATTCGCGGCTGGCAGAGAGCCACGCAGCGACGACGTCAGCCTGTCATACTTCACGAGCCGCTCCGCCACGTCAGCGTCGCACGGAAGCACCGCTGGAAGTCCCGACGCCGCGGCACCAACCTCGAGCGCATTTGACGGGACTTGCAAGGGGCAATCGGAGGGAAAGGCGGTCCGAAGCTCGCTGGTAACCTCCTCGTCGAGACGGGCTACGGCATGCGAGCGTTTCACGGCGCGGCGGAGGGCCTCCACAGGCGGGAGCGGACAGCGCGCGGGAATGGCGGCGGGAGCTGCGGCGGGAATCGCTGCAGTAACCGGGGGGAGTGTTGGATTGGTCCGCCGGAGTGGACTGGAGCTGAAGAAGCGCGGAATCTGGGGAGGGGATTGCGCTTGCGGCTTGAGACGGCGGAGCATTGCAAGGAAGGGAAGCGCGGCATTTGTGTTGTCGTCGCATGGCGAGCGTGGGGGACACTGTTCCAAAATCGCGCCATTACACGGCGGGCACGGCGGAGGGGTGGCGACTGGATTGGAGGATAGGCTGAGCGTAGTATCGAGGAGGGTCGCTGGAGGGACAGAGATCGGGGAGGATGAGAGGGATCGCAGGCGTTTGCTTGCGTGTAACGAGTCCGCGAAGAACGGATATCCTGTAGCAGGGAGAGGCTCCATGGCGGGAGAGGTAGGGAGGAACGCGCGAAAGTGCGTGTGGTCTGGGGTGGGCGAGTGGAAGTGGAGTGCCATGGAAATTGGCGTAGTATGGCTGGGCTTGGTCGGGAGTAAAAATGCTGGGAAAGGAAACTCTCGCGGGTTTCAGATTGCGAGCAAAGGTGCAAATTGGATGGTTGATGATGGAAGCGTATGAGAGGGTGGCTTTTATCCAGGGGGGCCTTGGAATGGGGAAGGGACAGAGTGGGGCTGCGTGGATGTGTGAATGGTTGCATGGATGATGGATGATTGCACAAGTTTCTCCTCCGTCCCGTCTGTGTGTGTGTGAGGAAGTGAGTGCCCTGGTGGGTTGTGTGAGGGAGGGAGAGGCACGGCGCGGACCAGGGGGCTGCGAGCACAGTACAGCGCAGCAGAAGCCCACGACTTTCGTCACGTCAGCATGCGAAACAGGCAGTGAGGGGGGAAGGGAAACGGAGATTGTGAGGTGGGGAGAGATGGGGAAGAAGTTTATAGGATGCAAAGAGATGGGGGGAGGTTGTGGAGGGCGTCCGTTCACCTGCTGGAAGGCGTCCTTTCGCCTAGTGGAATGGACATTCGCCAACTTTCTCTAGCCTCGCATGGCACACGGATTAGTTCTGTACTACACCTGATGCCTGTTTGAGCCCCTCCCGGTTGCCTTACGAAGGGGGCGTATAAGCTGTCACGAGCATTTCGCATAAGTTTCGGCAATTCGCAGCTAGCTAAAAATGATTCGCATGTGCTTATAAACAAGATCTGTAACCTAGTTTGACTTCAGTCTCCTCTGCTTGACTTCGGTCTGTACCTAGTTTGACGTCGGTCTGTTCGTTACTACTGGTTGATAACCACGCGACGCGCTTGTAATGTAGGTGCATGAAGCTGGGGAAACAACCTCGGGTGCAGCGTATCCATCCGGCGCAAGGCAAATTCGCGTGCATGGGGTGAGCATCAGCTGTAAACTGTAATTTCCTGTTTGTTTCGAGGGTTGTGTGGTGGTGTACTCCCTCAGTCGGAGATTTTCCGATAGGAAAAATGGTCCGAGCCAACACTGAAATTACTGCCCGACATGGCAATGAGTTTGCCCGTGCGACTCTTGAGGCAAATACACGAGGCACAAAAACCTTCCACTGCCTTACCATGCCAGCGTGATGCGTCGTCGGCGTATGGCATTATGGCAGCGCCAATGTTCTAGACATGCACGCTTCGATTCCTTTGCCTGGATGCGGTCTTGCTCCTCGTGTGGTCGGCTGAAGCGTGTGTCTTTACTGCTCCCCGCCTTTAAATGTGCGGTAAATTTTTATAAAGAAACTGGATCGCAGAATCGACGCCATTTGCGACTATTTTGGATGCTTCGTGGGCGGCTTCTGCAACTCGACCAACCTCTCCAATGAAGCGCTGGATTGGAAATGAAAGAAGGCTGCCACTGTTGAGAGATCTTCCAACAAACATTCTTCTGACGTGGCGCTTCAGACAAGACGGATCTGATCACAACAAAACCCCTTCCTTCCCCTCAGCCAAGTCAGAGGAAACAAAACTCTGTTGGCGTAACGGACGAACTGTTCGCACGCCTGATTCCAACGCCACAGAAACGCCACCGCTGTCTGACATATAGTTACTGCGTGCTGACTCAGCATGCTTGTGTGCTGGCAGGCCAAGGTGGAAACGTACCTTCGCTGGAATCCAGACCAGCGCCAACGAATGGAAGATGAGTTGAAGACTCGAGGGGATTGGCTTCGAGGTGGAGTGGGAATGAATGGGAGAATCTCGAGATAGCGTATGGCCCAATGTGGTTTCAACTTGCTTGAAATAAATGGATGGGGGGAGGGAGGGAAAAAAAAAACTCAACGTGTGTCATAAAACATTTCGCGCAATATCCTCGTCAGCACGGGAGTGCACGTATCGCGGGCCGTTAGGACATCCAGCGAGAGATGGTAAAGGCCAATCAGACATCGCGAGCGAATCGCGACCACGTGCTACGGAGGTGCAGTATACGGCTCCCTACGGTACAGTGTTGTGTACAGTTTTCTCGCATAAATGCTCAATGGAGGAGGTTGGTGAAACAGAACCTAGACACCACATGGCATTTGAGATCCCAGTGTAATCACAACTGAAATAACAGCAATGGAACACAATATTCTAATACTAAGGGCGCATTCCTGTGTAGACACAAATGTCTCAATCACTTTGTGACACCCAAAAACAGCCTAAACTGTATTGTGTCACAATTGCGAGTCGTGTTTCTGCGACATGTACTGTATTTTTAATTGGTCAGCGTGAAACGCGCTGACGTCGCGGACGAGTTGTAAATTGACCCGTCAATTTCGGAAAGTCGCCCGCGGTCCGAAATGTCAATGTATTTGGACCCCTCGACAATGACAATTCCGCGCGGGAAAAGAATCCGCGCGTCACAACCACACCCCAGCCAATCATTTGGCGAGACTGGTGTACAATCATTTCCGGAAACCAATCAGATGCGCACAACTGTTTTTTTCGCCTGATCGCCTTTTGTCGCGATACATCCAATGTTTGAGACGCGACATTGGAAAAATGTGTAGACGCGACTCGGGAAATAGTGCATTGAGACATTTGTGTCTACACAGGAATGCACCCTAATTTCAGGAAGAAACTCTGAGATGAGACCAGACATGGCTAACGGTATCGTCAAGTTAAGAACCACAATGATATAATGCTGTCCGCAGAAAAACTGCAGCACAGTTCCTGCACTGCCAACCCGTCTGCATCATTGCATAGTTGCATCTTTATGTGGTTGGAATTCCAGCAAAAAAAATATTTAGCACATTGTTTTGGAGGTAAAGGCACCTTTGTTCACCACCATTACGCATTGCTTCTACCGTACTTGTTGAGGATGCATTCTGCTGCTAGTTTTAGTGTAGCACCACTTCCAGTGTTGCATTAAGTTGCCCAATACAACAAAATAAGCGCAATCATACACTCCAACCTGATACAATGTATGCGCTTGCCAAGAAGGCTCTCCCTGTGCATTCATTCTTTCGAAAACTGTCAAAACTGTGTCGCAACGACCTTACATGGGTTCACTGGTTCCATGGCTGCTCTGACCCCTGTTGCTGCTGCGTTAACAGATGAGCTTGCTGCAGCAGATCAGGCACATGCTGCTGCTGCTGTTGACTTGGAAAACCAGACATGCCAGAAGAATACTGCTGCTGCTCCTGTACCTGCTGCTGCATCAACATCTGCTGCTGCTGCTGTTGCATCTGCATCTGTTGCATGTGCATCTGCTGCATCTGAATCTCCTGCTGCATGTCAATCTGAGCCTGCTTCATCCTAGAATACTGCGCCCGTCCCTCCACCGAATGCGCCATCGCCTGCATCCGGCTCACCGCCAGACTCACCTCCCTCTCCTCCCCATCCCCACCACTCCCCACCCCCTCCCCACCCTCAGTACCGTACAGCGCGCCATGTCCACCGTTGGAGTGGCATCCATCTTGCTGGGCACGGAGCCCCCGCACGCCGCTGCGGCGGAACCGCCAGCGCAGGACGGCCTTGGCGATGATCCCAAGGCCCCACTTCATCTTCTTGTACTTCTGCCGCTGAATGTGCCCCTTCACGTGCGCCTGCAGTGAGGGAAGAGGGAGAATGAGAGGGAAGGAGGGCGTATATGCTGATTGCACCACCTTGACGATGATCCCAAGGCCCCACTTCATCTTCTTGTACTTCACCCGCTGAATGTGCCCCTTCACATGTGCCTGTGGTAGGGGGGGGGGGCATGGGAGGAGATTGACGGGGAGAGGGGGGGGAGTATTCGGGATTAATAGAGGGGAAGGGAAAGCAGAGGGCAGTTACGGTTCTTATTGCCTTGCTGATGATCCCAATGCCCCACTTCACCTCCTTGTACTTCATACACTGGATGGGCCGTTTCACATGCGCCTGGGAGGGAGGGAAAGGAAGGGTTAGTGCAAATAAATTTGACTATCGCTCTACGACCCCCACTACCCTCCGCTTGCCTTACCGCTCGCCGTACAAACCACCACCCTCACCTGAATCTTGATAACCCGCTGTCGCATGCGCAGAAACTCTCTCCGGTGCTTCCACGTGCGGAACCGCCGCTGAATGCTCCGCGCAGCCTCCGACTGCTTGAAGGTCTTGTGCCCTCGGAACGCGTTCTGAATCTTCCTCGCCGCCACCAGCATCCTCGCCTCCTCCTCATCCAACTCATCGTCCCCTCCGATCCCCAGCCCTGCCGCTGCCTCCGCTGCCGCCGCCACTGCTCTCTCTTGCTCCCGAAGCTCCTCCTCCTCCTGCTGCTGCTGCCTCCTTCGCTCCGAGTGCTTCCTGAACCGCTCCTGGATCAACGCTGCGGCCTGCGCTGTCCTCCGAATCGCATCCAGCGTTTCTTGCATGTCGGGCGACGCAGCGACAGCGGCGGGGCGAACCACCCCCGGGAGACCACCAGCAGCAGCACCACCACCACCACCACCACCAGCGGCACCAGGACCAACACCCCTACCGGCGGCGCCAGCAGCTGCTGCGGCAACGGCTGCATGGCCAGCAGCAGCGGCTGATTGGAGAAGAGAAGGGTCGGTGGCCAGCTGGTGCTGGTCCTGAATGGTCATGGAGGAGAGGGAGGCGTTGAGGGACGACTCTGCTAGATAGGCCGCGATGCCCGTGTGCCCGCATGCTGACGCTGTGTCTGCTGCTGTGCGCTCCGCCCCTCCCACTCGCGCTAGGAGAGAGGAGTTGGCGCCTGCTGCCACCAGCGCCACCACCATTGCCTCTCTGCAGGGTGGTGGGCGGAGAGAGAAAAGCAAGAGAAAGGAGAAGAAAGGGAGGAAAGAGAGGAGAGCTCTTTTGAGGAGCCTCAAGAGACGCGTTGGCGCCTGCTGCCACCAGCGCCACCCACCATTGCCTCTCTGCAGGGAGTAAACAGCAAGGAGACAGGGAGAAAATAGGGGGAAAGAGAGAAAAGAGAGAGACGAGGGGAATGGGGAGGAGAGGGAGGCGTTGAGGGAGGACTCTGCTAGATGCGCTGCGATGCCCGTGTGCCCGCACGCTGATGCTGTGTCCCTGTGCGCTTCCTCCTATCTCACGAATTCCCTGTGTATGATTATCACTCACCTCCCTTTTGCAGCAGCCCAGTGCAGAGCCGTGCAATCCCTCTTGTCCCTCGCGTTCAGGTCCCACCCCACACTCATGAGCAGCGGCACAGCCCACGGCCACCCCAGGGCAGCCACGAGGTGCCCCAGGCCCAGCCCCATGCCCCTCCTGCCCGCCTCCCTCGCTGCATCGCTGTTCAGCGCCAACCAACGGCCCAGATGCTTCCGCATCAGCGCCTGCAGCAGCACGCCCTCCAACCGCACTGGACTCCCCTGGACCCCTGCTGCTCCTCCCTCCGCTCCTCCTCCTCCCCCTCCCCTCCTCCTCCTCTCTCTGTATCCGCCCCTCCTTGACATTGGAGTCTGAGAGCATATTCATCCGCATCCTCCTCATCACTCCCATACCCCCACATGCTCATCTCCCTCTCCTCATCATCCTCCTCATCCTCCCCCTCCTCTCTATCCACCCCCATTCCCTCCCTATCCGCCGCCCCCTCCCCCCTGTTCCCATCCTGCCTGCCGCTCCACTCCGCTTCATCCGGGCATGCTGCTGACGTGGACGCCAGCGCCTCATCCACCCACGCCCAGTCAGCGCTGACGTCCGCCAGGCTGGCGCGGTTGATGCGGGAGATGAAGCAGAGGAGGCGGGACAGCAGAGCGCGTTCAGAGAGAAACAGACGGGAGAGACTCGGCCTGCTACCATCCCCTTCACCACCACTTCCAGCACCAGCACCAGCACCAGCACCACCAGCACCACTGCCAAGACCACTCTTTGCATAAGTCCTGTTCCGGTCTAGAGCCAGGCTCTTTTTGAATGACTGCCAAGGAGGGAGGAAGTCGAAGGGAACAGGCGGGCTACATGGCACTCTCTTCACTGCCTTGCCTCCCTCCCCTCCTCCTCCTGCTGGTCCAACCCCCGCCCCCCGGCCCCTCCTGCTCCTGCCATGTCTTGATTCATTGCATCTCCACCCCCTCCGCCTCCACCACTCTCCACACCTGCAGTCCCACCCTCTCCCTCACCCCCAGGAGCAGTCACAGTCACAGCAGCAGCAGGGGTGCAGGTGACGCGCAGGCTAACCCGCCCTTGCTTGTGAATGGGAGCCACGCACCGCAGTACACCGTGCACAACCTGCTCAGCTTCCACCTCCACCTCTCCGAACGTCACCCCCCACCGCACGCCCCACACTGTGTCCCCCCGCCCGAAACTCCCACTGCCCGTCCCCCCAAGCCCGCCCCCACCAAGACCCCCCCCAGCACCGAAACTGCCCCCGCTCCCGCTAAGGCTGCCGCTGCCTGAGAAGCTGCCGCGGGGGGAGGAGCGCGTGTGGGGGCTTGGGGTGCCTCGCGGATCGTGGACAGACCCTGCTAACAGCACCTGGGGGGGAGGGGAGGGAGAGGTGGCGAGGGGTGGAGGGGGAGGAGGGGAATATGAAGGAGGGGGAGGGGAAAAGGGAGGAGCGCGTGTGGGGGCTTGGGGTGCCTCGCGGATCGTGGACAGACCCTGCTAGCAGCACCTGGGGGGTATTGGGAAGGGGTTGGAAGGAGGGGTGTGCGGGACGGGTTGGGAAGAAGAGAGGAGGGTGAAGGGTTGGTTGCTGCCTTTCTCTGAGAGTCAGCCTCTTTTTCACCTGCGCACCACCACCACCACCGGCATCATTGGCAGCAGCAGCACACCCACCAGTAACGGCAGCACCTCGAGCAACAGCAGCATCGCCAGTACTCACCTTGACGCCCCCCATGGTGGCAGCGGACGTGGGAGCATAGTCAGCAATGGAGAAGGTCACCATGGGCCGAGGCGGGCGCAGAGGAGAGGTACGTCACTGTACCTGCCGACCACCACCACTAGCAGCAGAAGCAGCAGTACCACTACCACCAGCACTGACCTTGAGCCCCCCATGGTGGCAGCAGAGGTGGGAGCATAGTCCGCAATGGAAAAGGTCACCATCGGGCGGGGTGGTGAGCAGCAGCGAAACACAAAGCAGATCACATCTCTGTTCTCTGCTGCACTGCCACCACCACTACGCACCTTGACGCCCCCCATGGTGGCAGCAGAGGTGGGAGCATAGTCCGCAATGGAAAACGTCACCATGGGGCGCGGCGAGTCTGCTGCTGCCACCGACCCCATGCCCCCCATCGACAGCTTCCCACTCCCTATCCCCCTCCTCGCCCCCAGCCCTACTCCTCCTCCCCCAATGCTCCCTCCCCCGATGCTCCCTCCCCCTCCCCATCCTCCTCCCCCTGCTCCTCCTCCTGCCCCCACTCCAGACACCCCCCCACCACCACTGGCAGCCGCAGCAGGAGCCGTGGTGCCCAGAGGAAGCATGGGAGAAGCTCCCATGAATGAGAGGTCATACCTGCTGCCTCCCAGCCCCACACCTCCCTCCTCCTCGCCGTCCCCTCCCGCCTCCTCCTTCACCCCCAACTTGAAACTCACCTCCTGCCTCTCCAACCCCGTACCCGCGCCCATACCGGAGGAACACGGGGAGGAGGGGAAGGGCTCGGGGGAGGAGAGAGGGGAGGGCGTGGGGGCAGACCGGCGCATAGCCTGGGTGATTCTCATATCAAAAGAGTCAGTGCCAGTGCCAAAACCACCGCCACCACTGCCACCACCGCCACCACCACCACCACCGCCACTGCCACCACCAGCTCCAGAAGTAGAGAGAGGGAAAGCACCACCCCCCATAACCGCATCCTCCCCCACCCCCGCCCCATCCCCGCCTGCTCCCCCGCCCCCTCCCGCACCACCATCCCCTTTATAAACCTCCTCGATCCACTCGCCAAAGCTGTCCAGTTTCCGGAACAGCGCAGGCTCGTTCGGCATGCTGCCGCTCTGAGGGATGATGCTGCCACTCTTGGGCATGCTTCCACTAGGGGGCAACGGCAACCCTGATAAGCTCCTATTAGACCCATCCGTCTGCATCTCATCAAACATATTTGAGAATCCCGGGCGCCCCGAGCCTCCGGAGCTTCGGAGCTCCGGAGGGTACGCGCCGAGCCAGCTCTCGGGAGGTACGGCCGGAGCTGCGGCGGCTGCTATGGCGGCGGCTGCGGCGGCGGTGGCTGCAGCGATGGCTCGAGGGGAGCCGGAGGCGCCGCCTCCGCTGAAGGCTGCTTCTCTGCCTGCCTCGTTGAGAGGGACAGTCTGCAGGAGCAGCGATGACTGGTGGGTGGATATGGGGAGAATTGGGAAGGCAGGAAGGCGGTGGGGGGAGAGAAAGACCGGGGAGGTAGGGGAAGGGAGGAGTTGGGGGATGTGGGAAGGAAAACGGTGAAGATCCGTTGAGACCCTTCCCTCCGTCCCCCTTTTTTTTTGTCCGATTCCGTCGGAACCCACTTCCCTCCATCCTTGTACCCACATAATCACCCACCCACCCACCCACACACTCACACAAGGACACCCACCCACACCAGTCCGCTCCCCACCCGCACGCACCAGGTCTGTGTGTGAGCCGGAGGAGCCCGAGCGAGCATACATGAGCGAATTCAACTGCGCCTCTGCTGCACCCCCCACGCCCACCATGCCCACCCCAGGTGACTCAAAAGTCACTCACACTCACACCAGTTCGCCCCCCACCCGCACGCACCAGGTCTGTGTGTGGGCCAGAGCCCGAGCGGGCATACATGAGCGAATTCAACTGCGCCTCTGCTGCACCCGCTGCTCCTGCTCCTGCTGCCGGCAGTGCCACATTCCCGGAACCAGCAGAACCAGCAGCGCCTGCAGCACCTGCTGTGCCCGCTGCAGAAGCATCCAAGGAGCCTGCAGGAGGGTGGGGGTTTTGAAAAAAATCTCAAAAGCTGCTCCTGCAACTCATGCCACATTTCCGGAACCAGCAGCACCAGCAGCGCCTGCAGCACCCGCTGTGCCCGCTGCAGAAGCATCCAAGGAACCTGCAGGAGGGTGGGGGTTTTGGAGGATTTGAGAAATTCTCAAACTGAGACGAATTTTGAGGGACGATGGACCAAATTGAAACAGTGTGTTGAGTGGAGCGTCGACAATAGCAGCTAAAGCAGCAGTACCTGCGAGGCCGGACGCCTTGATGAGCTCGTCCAGCACGACTGTGTCTCGCAGGAGCGACTGCATGCATTGATTACTCAGGCACCTCAGGCACCTCAGATTCAGGGAAGTTTTGTGGCGCCTAAAAGAAGTACCTGCGAGGCCGGACGCCTTGATAAGCTCGTCCAGCACGACTGTGTCTCGCAGGAGCGACTGCATGTCCCGCTGCTGCTGCTGGTGCTGCTGCTGTTGCTGCTGCTGCTGCTGCTCCAGCAGCCTCGAGAGCTGCTGCTGATGGTTGTTCTGAGAAACGGGCATGAGAGAGTGAAGGGCAGAGAAGAGAGGTGTGAGCAGGGAGATGGGAGGTGAGAGCTTTTGAGACGTCTCAAAAGTCTGCTGGTGCTGCTGCTGATGCTGTTCCAGCAGCCGAGAGAGCTGCTGCTGATGGTTGGTGTGTGAAACGGGCATGCGAGAGAACGGGAGGAACGGAGGGAAGCGCAGAGAGAAGGGAGGTGAGATCAGGGAGAAGGGAGGTGAGATCAGGGAGAAGGGAGGTGAGATTAGGGAAAAGGGAGGTGAGATTAGGGAGAAGGGAGGTGAGATCAGGGAGAAGGGAGGTGAAATTAGGGAGAAGGGAGGTGAAATTAGGGAGAAGGGAGGTGAGATAAGGGAGAAGGGAGGTGAGATTAGGGAAAAGGGAGGTGAGATTAGGGAGAAGGGAGGTGAGATCAGGGAGAAGGGAGGTGAGATCAGGGAGAAGGGAGGTGAAATTAGGGAGAAGGGAGGTGAGATTAGGGAGAAGGGAGGTGAGATTAGGGAGAAGGGAGGTGAGATTAGGGAGAAGGGAGGTGAGATTAGGGAGAAGGGAGGTGAGATTAGGAGAAGGGAGGTGAGATTAGGGAGAAGGGAGGTGAGATTAGGGAGAAGGGAGGTGAGATTAGGGAGAAGGGAGGTGAGATTAGAGAGAAGGGAGGTGAGATTAGGGAGAAGGGAGGTGAGATTAGGGAGAAGGGAGGTGAGATTAGGGAGAAGGGAGGTGAGATTAGGGAGAAGGGAGGTGAGATCAGGGAGAAGGGAGGTGAGATCAGGGAGAAGGGAGGTGAGATTAGGGAGAAGGGAGGTGAGATTAGGGAGAAGGGGGGCGAGGTCAGGGAGAAGGGATGTGAGAGCACGGGGGAGGACGGAAATGATGGGAGGGAAGGAGGGGAAGAGGAAAAGGAAAGGGGAAGCGAGGCCAATCTGCTGCATGAGGGGGTCAGCCAGCCCCGTGACACCCAGGCTGCCGTGCAGCGCACTGACAGAGCTGGAAAACAGCCCCATGAAATCCGTCATTCCCGCCACCACCTGCCCCTGTCCCTGCTTTGAGTTGACTCACAACTCGACTCACAACTCGACTCACAGATTATCTCACCTGTTGCAAGAGGGGATCCGCCGGCCCCGTGACACCCAGGGTACCGTGCGACGAAAGCCCCATGAAATCCGTCATCCCCCCGCCACCTGCTGCTGCTCTGAGCCAACTCAACACCCACCTGCTTTGAGTTGACTCGAGACTCGGCTCACCTGTTGCAAGAGGGGGTCAGCCGCCCCTGTTACACCCAGGCCGCCGTGCGACGACAGCCCCATGAAATCCGTCATCCCCCCTGCCACCTGCCCCTGCTGCTGTGGCCCCTGCTGCTGCTGCTGGAGCAGCTGCTGTTGCAGCAGCCGCAACTGCTGTTGCTGCACTGCCTGCTGCTGCTGCTGCTGCTGCTGCTGCTGCTGCTGCTGATGATGCTGACCCACACCCAGCCCACCACCGTCCATCCCGCCGCCAACACCCTTCACCCCGCCCCCTTGCATATCCAGCTGCGTCCAGTTCAGAGCCGAGTCCCCCTCCTCACCAAACCGCTCTGAACCGCTCTCATACTCGTCTTCCTCCCCCTCCTCCCCGCGCCTTCCCCCGCCCATGAACGCCCCGGACTCGTTCCCGCCCGCGTTAGACGAGCAGTACTCGTTGCCGTGACTAGGGGACGCGGGAATATCCATGGAAAACGCGCCCCCGCCCCTTCCGCCCGCGCCCATGCCTGCTCCGCCGCCCCCCGCCCCTCCGCCAGCAGTTCCGCCAGCAGAGGCGGAGCTAGAGGCGTAGGGGAGACCCATCATGCGCCCGCTGCCAGAACGACTGGTGGAGGGGGTATGCATGCCCATCCCGCCCATCCCCATCCCGCCCACATCCCCAACACCCCCAACGCCACCAGCAACAGCCCCAGCACCACCAGCGGCACTGGCGCTGCCCATACCCGCACCAGCCGCGCTGCTTCCCCCGCCCATTAGCGCCATGCCCGCGCTGCGAGCTCCGCCGCCGCCCATGCCGCCCATCCCGCCGCCCACGGACGCGGAGAGGTCGTCTATGCTCATGTCGGGGCCCTGGGTGGCATATATCGGCATGGAGTCCACCGTGCTATGCCTAGGGGACTGCTGCGCCCGCCCCGTACCCTGTAGGGGATGAGAGGGCAACAATGCAGTCAGGAGAGTCAAGAGAGTCAAGAGGGTCAAGAGAGGTCGTCTATGCTCATGTCGGGGCCCTGGGTGGCATATATCGGCATGGAGTCCACCGTGCTATGCCTAGGGGACTGCTGCGCCCGCCCCGTACCCTGTAGGGGATGAGAGGGCAACAATGCAGTCAGGAGAGTCAAGAGAGTCAAGAGGGTCAAGAGAGGTCGTCTATGCTCATGTCGGGGCCCTGGGTGGCATAGATTGGCATGGAGTCGACTGTGCTGTGGCGGGGGGACTGCTGCGCCCGCCCCGTGCCCTGAGGGGTGGGGGGGAAGGAGACCGAGGGGAAGCGGGAGTGGGGGTTGGGGAGTGGGGTTGGGAAACATTTTGAATCGCTCTTAGGGAAGCCGACAGAGAAGTGGAGAGAGGGGAGGAGAGCGCAATGGTGCAGCCAAGAGAGCGCAATGGTGCAGCCAAGAGAGCGCAATGGTGCAGCCAAGAGAGCGCAATGGTGCAGCCAAGAGAGCGCAATGGTGCAGCCAAGAGAGCGCAATGGTGCAGCCAAGAGAGCGCAATGGTGCAGCCAAGAGAGCGCAATGGTGCAGCCAAGAGAGCGCAATGGTGCAGCCAAGAGAGCGCAATGGTGCAGCCAAGAGAGCGCAATGGTGCAGCCAAGAGAGCGCAATGGTGCAGCCAAGAGAGCGCAATGGTGCAGCCAAGAGAGCGCAATGGTGCAGCCAAGAGAGCGCAATGGTGCAGCCAAGAGAGCGCAATGGTGCAGCCAAGAGAGCGCAATGGTGCAGCCAAGAGAGCGCAATGGTGCAGCCAAGAGAGCGCAATGGTGCAGCCAAGAGAGCGCAATGGTGCAGCCAAGAGAGCGCAATGGTGCAGCCAAGAGAGCGCAATGGTGCAGCCAAGAGAGCGCAATGGTGCAGCCAAGAGAGCGCAATGGTGCAGCCAAGAGAGCGCAATGGTGCAGCCAAGAGAGTGCAACGGTGCAGCCAAGAGAGCGCAATGGTGCAGCCAAGAGAGCGCAAAAAGGTCGCTCACACAGAGAGTAGGGAAGATTGGTGGTGAATAGGCATTTACTGTAGGGCGGTAAACAGCAGATTGTGCGAGGTATGCATTTACCTGAGCCACTTCACGGTAATGCACAAGCACAATGTTTTCGTTCTCCCTGCAGCAACACGGGGAGATTAACGGACAGGCACGGGGAGGACGGAATGGGGATCAGTCGGGGGGGAGTGGGGGGTGGCGGGGAACGGGAATGGGGGGGGCGGAGTGTCAGAAGGATCAGAGTTGAAACGCGTGAGAACGGATCAAGTGCGGGAACACGCGTGAGGGCGAGCAGTGCAGGAGGAAAAGCGAATACCAAAGCAGTACAGGCCTGGGGGTCCTCGCGCGCGTCCGTCTCGTCTTTCCACACACGTGTGCATCGAGTGGAGCAGGAGTGGCGGGGTGGCATGCGCGCACTCACCCGCCGGGGTGGCGGGGAGGGCGAGGGCGAGGGCGAGGGGGAGGGGGAGGGGCGGGGGTGGCATGCGCGCACTCACCCGCCGGGGTGGCGGGGAGGGCGAGGGCGAGGGGGAGGGGGAGGGGGAGGGGCGGGGGGGGCATGCGCGCACTCACCCGTCGAGCAGCCAGTAGCAGCGGCGCTGGAAGCGGTCGTCGCTCTCCGCGTGCGCGTAGTAGCAATGCAGAATGTCCACGCTGCCCGCCTGGTGGGAGAGAGAGGGGGAGAGAGTGGGAGAAAGACTAAGTCGACTCATAGCTCTCCGCGTGCGCGTAATAGCAATGCAGAATGTCCACGCTGCCCGCCTGCCCCGCGCCATGGAAGCGGAAGAGGGAGAGGGAGAAGATAAAACGCGCGGGGTGAATCTTCAATCGACCCAAAGCTCTCCGCGTGCGCGCAGTAGCAGCGCGAAATGCCCACGCTGCCTGCCTGCACCGCCGCATGCCGCGCGCGCGCGCGAGAAGAGCTATGCGCAGACTTGGCGGAGAAATTACATTGGCCTATTGGCATGAGGAACGAGCTACTTTTGCGCACGGAACGAAGCGACGCGAAGGCGAAGCGAAAGCGAGCTACTGCCATGCAGCCACGGGGTGCATTGCATCAACCCATAGGCAACGCAGCGGCGATCATTCTCCTCCTTTCCTTCACTTGGTCCTCTCGATTTTTCCTCACGCTTTGTCCTACCAATGCGTTCTCTTCTCGTCCCTCACGCGACATTCACACGCATCATTCAATGCATCCAATCAGCGTCGCGCACGATTCGCGCGCACCTTGCGATTTCGACCTCTGGCAACCTTTCGCGCACCTTGAGCTTTTCGTGCGCCTCGCGAACGGTCTTGCCGTCCTTCTTCTTGCGCCACACGTGTCCGTCGCGGCGAAAGTATCGCACCACCTTCCGATCGAACAGGAACAACGACCCGCCTGCGCGCAACGGTGCCACGTCATCATTACATGGAGAGGGTTGAATGTACGTTAGGGTTGCATTCACATTAGGGTTGAATTGTGTTGTGCAGCAAAACACGCATCGTACGATACAATCTGGATGAACAAGAATCGTCCGATCAACACGGATAGAGAAGATCAATGATCCCAACGGAGAACGCGGGGGGGAGGGAGTGGGGGTCAGAGAGAGAGCTGGGGAAAAAAGGAGGCGAAAGATCGCGAGGATCAACGGTCGACGATCCTTGATTGGCGGCTTGGCAGGCGGCTCTTGGTTGAGCTGGAACTCGTGTTTGCGGAAGTTCTTTTGACACGCCTCAGAAAGGGAGGAGATCCCATGGTCCAACGGCTAATTATTCTTACTTGGCGGCTTGGCTGGTGGCTCTTGGTTGAGCTGAAACTCGTATTTGCGGAAGTTCTGCAGGATGTTGCACACCTCGACCGGCTTGAGCCATCGCGTGCGCGCCTCCAGCAGCACGTGGCCAATGTCGATGTCCTCTGGTGATGTCGCGGCGCGCACATTGTGTTACGGTAGGGAAGAGAATGGAGAAAGGCTTTGTTAGACATGGTGATGCAGCACGTGCTGATGTCGATGTCCGCTGATGGCCGCGGCGCGGCACGGGTAGGCCCGGAACGATTAGAGACACATAGGTCACGACAGGGAAAAAAATTGGAAAATGGGCTTGGTTAGACATGACGATGAGATGATATGATGGAAGGAAGAGCACTTGCCGATGTCAATGACCTGAGATCATGTTTGGCTGAATAGGCGAATCTTAGCAGATAAATGACAATGGGTCATAACGAACATTTCGACAATCCACTATGGGCGACGAGAGACCAGAAACTATCCAGTTGGATAGGGGAAGCTTAATGTTGCTAGATTAGGACGTTTTCTCTTTACATACATGAATTTTGTGGAACAGGGTTGAAACCCTAGACCTTTTTTATGAACAGATTTGGCAGCACGCGAGAGTATGGCATTTTACGGAACTGAACATAATGATACGCTTCACGGTAGGATATAACACGAAAAGGAGAAAAGGCGGGAGGGCGTAAAAACAAAACCTTGCCTGTTGGAAAGGGCTGCTTCCGTAACGCCATGACGGGAGCTGATCCTGAGTGTCGCGTAGGGTATCAACGTGACGCTACCAGATCAGAGTTCAACGACCTAAACTCGAATCATGGATCCACAATGGAGTCGGTAATGTGACCATAAGGATCGGGTAAATAATTTACGCGTGCGGCGAATTTCGATATGAGGTCAAGGACATCGTACGGTAACACGAAACCAGGAGGAACCCTAGGACAATGGAGAATATCGACTAATCGTCCTTTCTAGATAACGTAAACCGCCTGTGTGGAGGAGGCTGTGCTGGTGCTGACTGGAATCTCAGTTGGCGAGGCGAGGCAGTTGCTGTCTGGACTGGATGTGGCAAGAGGGTATGTCGACTCGTCCTAGGGGAACGATCAGGATTTCAGCGTGGCAGCTCCTGCCAGGTCCGTCTCGATACAGTCTCGAGTCTTGAGCGTCGAGTGCTGCTCTGCACCACAACTGCCGTGCGTGTTTCTTACCTCACAGCCGAAACAAATCGACGGAAGAAATGATGCAAGAAGAAGGCAGTGATCTAAAGCGCATTGTGGTACAGTACTTGGTTGCCTCTGTATCACATCACATCACACTGTGCAGTGTAGCATCTGTTCCACCCAGATGACACAACGTGCCCTCTCATTGAACCAACTCCACTGGCGAATTTCGCCTGCTTTTCGTGAGGTGAATCATGATGGGTCCCCCGAAATCAGATGCGGTACAAAACGATCTGCTGATGAAAACAATGAGTGCGACAAGTCTACTGGGGATTAACACTGTACATCGTAGAAAACAGCGTTAATCTAGCTGTTAGATTATATTCGATTTTCTTGTTGGTGACGCTCCACAGCTAGGAGCGAGTCTGTGCTGTTGCGAATGAGGGAAACAATATCGTCATCCGTAAAAGGTCAGGGTGGCGAAAAACAAATAATTAACTCTGATTCCTGGCGCTGTACTCAGGTGTACTCAGGTGTCTAAAAGTTTGCCCTCGCTAGCAATCAACAGGAACAGCAGCGAGGCTGGGGCGGGTGATTTGGGTGCTGTAGACGTTTGAAGGTTTCTCCAGGGATGTCAACCAAATGTTTTCTCTCAAACACTTACGTGGAGGGTCACAATCAAGTGACGCTTATCAGACTGGAGGGTTTTGCATGTGTGATTCGGGTTCACTTGTTTAGCAGATCAGGACTCTGTTTCCGCGCAATTTGCAACAACGTAACAAAAAAACCGGTACTGCACACATTCTACACATTGTACAGTACAGTAGAAGTAGCTGCCCTGCGCTTCTTGTTGAACACCCGGCGGCCATTCAACCACCGTTCTGTATTTCAAACAAAAACAAACAGCTGATGCACCTGCAGTCATTCTTCACGACCAACCTGCCCGATCGATCAAACTCACACACCAAAGAATGCCATCGGATTCGTTATAACGTGTTTTGTCTGTCTCCTTTCCTTACTGTTTCTTTAAATAATCAACAATAAGCTATTAGGCTCTAATCAGTCATACCTTTATAGATTTCAACCAATCTAATAATTTACTTTAGGTTATACTCATTCGATTATACTTTATTTCGTTTTAAAATTTGCTCATTTGCATAAATTATAGTATGATAGTTCTTAAAACATTTTTTGCGTTAATATAATTATGTATATGAATCTATTACATAGTTAATATTGTACACATATTTAAATGGCGAGCTGGTCTTGCTATTATATAGGTTACAAAAAAATAATACACACGTAAGGTTCACTGTAATTGTTTATTTACCTTTCAATCTCTATAGTTATGGGTCTTATAGAAACGTTTGAGGTAGCTGTTGTTTGCAAAGATTTTCAGGATCCATGCGACAGTAGCTTGTTGGTGATACCAACATTGTGTTCAAACAGCGAACATCGGTCAGTCGTCACTTCTTCTGTTAAAGACCGTTTTCCATATTATTAACTATTATGAAGCTCTAAGACATTGCTCAAGGCTCTTCTCTCAAGCTGCTCGAAAGATTATTGCCATGGCCCGGCTGTCTCCAAACCGTCACCCAAGATGGTATCTGGAGAATATAAACAAATCAAGACGAAACAGGATTTGCAAATACAAAGAAGTCGGACGGCGAAACGTTTTCCGCTTATCAGCCTTTTCTTTTCTTCGGCGTTAATCAAGGAAAATTGATTATATGAGCCAACCATTGACCCACACGGCCAAGGCTCGTTCATTGTGTGATTCCACGGAAACAAGGGCCATGACATCTGAAAGGGAAAATTTTATTCCTACAGCTACTAGCATGGCTGCTGCGTTTATTGAAGACGATGATGGTTTTATTTCTAGCGTGGGTGAAGACGAAGAATCTTTTCCGAAATCCCATAATAGAATGATGGCTCGTTAATTATAGGAGGCGTATTTGCAATTGGAAGACATTGACTTGAGCTCTTCATTAGCTCGTCGTCGACATGAACCAGAAGGAATTACAAAGAATATCGTTGGAGGTTTTCTGCTCTCCCCAACAGAGCGAGCAGCTGCTGTAAATCACATTCGACGTGAAACTTCTCATCTTGTTCAAGAGGCAGGCAGAACGCGCGCGACAGGTGCTGCCTTTCTCCCTGACACATTCATATTTCCAGTTCCCCCAGTTACACAACTTTCGCGGGTATGCCAGATCTCAACCAAAATCGGTGGTGTTAGCCACCAACTTCGAAACAAGCATCGCCTCTTGCAACCGGACTGGAACATGCTCGGCAGTACAAGTTTGGTCGGAGCAAGCAAACCACAGCCGAAGAGTCACATGCAGCAAGAGGGGTGTAGAAATGTGTGCTGAAGTTTGCCACCAGCGCAACGGTTTTCCATAGCAGGCAAGATGCAATATTTAGTATTTTGACTTATAAACCACCGTAGAAGCATCCGGTGTCAGATTATAATGCTTGTCTAGTCTGCAGTCGGGTACTCTGTAGTGAGTACAACCCCTTAGGGTTTCCTATTTGTATCCCAACTGTTGCTAGTCAAATCCCTCCTTTGCCTAATTCTCTTACCTAGCTAGGTAAACCCTAGCCATGGCTCCTTGTTCTAGCTACTCTTTTAACATGGAATCAGAGCTGTTACGCTCTTGGCCTGTGGGCCCCACGTGCTTCCGCTGCTTTCCTGTCTGTCGCGCGCCCCGTGGCGCGCGACGCCTTGTTTTTCTTCCCACCGCGCGCTCGGGGCGCGCGGCGGTTTTCTTCCCCGTTGGCCTGCGCGTCGCCCCCCCCCCGCATTCCCCGGCGCGGCCCCCGTTTCCCCGTCGCGGCGCCCTGGGGAGCCGCGCGCGGCCCCCCGCTGCCCCATCGCGACACCCTGGGGAGCCGCGCGCGGCCCCCGTTTCCCCGTCGCGGCGCCCTGGGGAGCCGCGCGCGGCCCCCCGCTGACTCATCGCGGCGCCCAGGGGAGCCGTGCGCCGCCCCCGGAGACGCGCGCGCCCGTCCCCCTGGACCCGCGTGTCAGAAATAACTGAGCAGGAATGAATGAACTAGAACAGAGTTTGGTACAAGTAGGAAACCCTAACTTTGTGTACCCCCTAAGGTGTAACCCACTACAGCCTAGACAATATAAACATGCAATGTTTGACACACCCCCATAGGCGCAGTGGGAGACAGCCACAGGGTCACAAGACCAGTCAAAGCAAAGCAAAACAAGCTCAGGGTGGATCTCAAGGATTCCACACAAATTCCGAGCACAAGCAAGCGGTCACAAGACCAGTTCACATGCAGGTTTATAACAAAGCAAGAGATACAGTGATCACAACCTAGCAAACGTAAACAAGTAGGCATATATATATAGTGATCACAGTACAAGCAAGGTCAAGAGGTAAGTAAGTGAGGCCCAGTAGGTACAAGGCCTAGCAGAGTGCAAAAGCGCTGATGGTCACAAGGCTGAAGCGCCTTGGTGAACACATCAGCAGTGTTGGCCTCCGTGGCCACGTAACGCAGACAAAGCTGACCACGCTGCTGCAGCTCTCGAGCCAGGAAGTACCGCAGAGCGATGTGCTTCGTTCTGTGCTCCAGTCTGTGCTCCTCACACAAGGCAATGGCAGCCTTGTTGTCGACGTACAGCACTGGAGGAGAACGAGGCCGCTCTCCGAGGTCGGTCAGCAGGTAGGTCAGCCAGCGTAGCTCCTGAGCGGCCATGGCTGTGGCGTAGATCTCAGCCTCACAACTGGAGCTGAGAACAGAAGAAGAGCGAGTAGAACGCCAAGAAACTGTGCCAGAGCCAAGGCTGAAGGTGTAACCCTGGGACGACCGCTGAGTAGCCTGGTCGTCTGCCCAAGAAGCGTCTGAGTGCCCTGTGAGAACAACCCGGTCTCGCCCTCCAAGCACAAGCCCCATGCCCGACGTACTGCACAAGTAGCGCAACACCCTCTTAGCAGCATCCATGTGCTCCTTCCGGTGACGGCCAGGAGCGACATAGCGTGCTAGGATGCTAAGAGGGTATGCAAGGTCAGGTCGAGTGCAGGTCATCAGGTACATGAGGCAGCCCACAAGCTCTGGATACGGGCCACTCGGCTCTACGGACTCATCCGAAGGCAGAGCTGAGAGCGAGTGACCGGTAGGCAGAGGAGTGGACTGAGGCGAGGAGTACGTGAAGCGGAAGCGCTGGAGGACCTGCTGCACCATGTGTGACTGAGTCAGGGTGATGGTGCGCCGT